TTTTGGTCCTGATTTCCTGTAATCACTTATTATCATTCTCTTTTCATTCTTTCATGTTCACCGCTCAAAATAAAACGAAAGATCAAGATTCTTAAAAAATTCTTTTCTTTGGATTTTTGAATGGTGAAATTATTTGGGATTCTATTATTGTTATTTTGCCTTGAATGTTTGTAGTCTTATTTGCCAAGAAAAAAGGTATACCTGCTTTGTTCCCATTTTAAAAAAATAAGAGTTATCATATGATGATTTGCATTAAAGTAATTCCAAGAATCATAAACGGCTCTTTTTATCAGTAAAGTGATATATGGGGGACACATTTTTTCATTTGAGTTCTTTTTTTTTAGCCAATCCAATAGCCACACTTTTGTTGCAAATGACTTTAATACCTGAGGCAATAGCAACATTCCTTAAAGTACAATGTATCAATTCTGAAAGATCTTCTGATCCCTCTTGTGTACAATTATCTGCATATTAAAATATAAAGTATTCTATTCCCTTGATATCCATACCTTTATGTATTTTGTTCTTTTAATGGAAATGGAAAGCACCTTTGCACATATGATACAAGTATGCGGTGACAGTGCATCACCTTGTCTGCAGCCTCGATCCAGCTTCAAATAATTTGAAATATGGCCTGTATTTATTGTTGAACTGCATACTATGGAAGTGTTGTTGCCATATTCTAAAAAAAATATAATCTATGTAGACAATACATTCATCTACGTAGGTTAGGCTAGGTTAACCTGTTGTTTAACGCCGCACTCAGCAATATTCCAGCTACATGACGGCGATCTGTAAATAATCGAGTCTGGACCAGACAATCCAGTGATTGACATCATGAGCATCGATCCACGCAATTGAAATACGATGACATGCATCAACCAAGTTAGCGAGTCTGGCCACCCGATCCCGTTGGTCGCCACTTACAACAAGCATAGTCGCCATTTATGCATGGTAAGCATGGGTTGTAGATGATACTTACACCTACGTAGATGATACTTTCATCTACGTCGATGATACTTACTTCTACGGAGATGATACTGGTATCTACATAGACGATACATCAACGTAGATGATACTTTCACCTAGAATGTGTCACCAATACGCTTTCATAGCACTGCAGTTATTTGTCTCTAGGGTTTATGATAATTCTGGGGTTTTGTATATTCCCCCTCAACACTACCAAAGGCTTTCTCAAACCCAGTAACAAGTCGGTTTGGGATTCGATGTATTTCACATGCAGTAATTCATAATGTCACATAATAGTCGTGTATTTTCTACGATAAAGCGATTTTTAAGGAAACCAGTTTAGCAATGAGGTTAATCCAGCTGGCTTATTTCCACCAGTAATTCATCACGTTAATGGTGAACATCATAACAGATCTTTACAGTCGTGATGAGCAGTGCCACGGGCAGTAAAGAGAAGGCCAAGTTCAGCCATACCCAAGTTTGGGGTGGAGAGAAAGTCATACTGTACTGTAACTTGGAGGCTATTTCAAGCCAACTGATACGTAGGTACAACTTAAAAATATCTAAAACGCTGTTATTTAATGAGTTATTTGAGAACTAATTTCGTTTTGTAGTTGATTGTTTCATTTATATGACCTCTCACGCCGACAATGGATGATGTCAAGACTTCCAAGAAATGAATTGGTTGAGTATATATTCAACAGGTTGCGATGATATATATGTAGGGGAGGGTGTTTGTGTCATTTTATGAATTCTTTTAATAGACTATGTATATTGTAACCATTACTTTGAACTAGTCAATCATATAAGTAATTAAACTTGAACTTGAGAGATAACTGTCACATTTGTCTCTACCTGTGACCCCTCCGAAGACAGCTGGTCTATTTACCCCTGTGTAACTAGGAGTTCCAAAGAGAGTGACAAGCGACCTTGTCGTCATAGCAACATGGTGATAAACCTACTGTGCATTGAAATTTGCGCTCGGTTCCAAATTGAAATGAGAGGTGTCTAATCTACCGTTAGACCACCTCAAATTTCAGTACACAGTAGACTTATCTCCTACATATTCATTACCACTTTCATAAGTATCATGACCCGTGCACTAAGTCTATGTGTGCTACCATGAGAAAAATGACTCACTGCATAGGTATTTTGCATTTTGTAAATTACGTTGCGTTTCTTGTAAGAAAATAATTGAAGCTCTTACGAACAAATGAGGTGAGGTGAAATGGAGCTTAACGTCGCGTCCAAGATTATTGCACCGATATAGCGACGTGCTTGCACGTGTGTGTGGCTGCTTGTACAAGTCCGGACTAGTCTCGATTTTATAGTGGTAGCCCACAGAGATACCACAGATTAACACGAATACCCAACTCAGACATAGATTTCTGTATCCGGGCCAACCAGTTCTTGTGTCAGCCCCTTAATTACGAGCGCAAGGCAGAGTAACAACAAGAACCATATTTAAGGTCGCGGCCGGGAATCGAACCCGGACCTCCAGCGCTCCCACTAGACCCCGGAGGCGATCACGAACAAATTAACTATATCTCTGGATATATATTATCAGCATGGAGACACCGTGCATTCACGGCGATCATGCCTAAAAAACTATAGTAATCATATGTCAGATGTAGGTTCTCGTGGTAGTTGTTTTCATGTCTTGGCGTATAGCAGAGCTGATCGTGTACACTGTTCGTACTTGAAAAGGGTAGAAAAACGTAGACAGAATGAAAGTTAAATACAGAGAGTAAGAATTATGTTGTTGATGTTGATTGTTGTTTACGGCGCACTCAGCACTAATCCAGCCCTATGACGGCGGTCTGTAAATAATGAAGTCTGGATCAGACAATCCAGTGATAGACATCATGAACATCGGTATACGATGGGATATGGGATACGATGACATCCATCAACCAAATCAGCTAGTCCGACCACCCGATCCCGTTAGTCGTCTTTTACGACAAGCATAGTCGCCACTTACGACAAGCAAGGGTTGCTGAAGACATATTCTAACACGGATGGTCATGGATTAGTCAGAATTATTAATACATAGAATGCAGGGAATGTACAGACAGAGAAAACCTAAACTGGACCAACGACAATGTGTAACTATTGTGATGAGGTTAGTAAATAAGGCAGTGTCTGGAGTTCAATGAAACGACAGTAATACAATTAGCAACACCAATATACGCATAATAGTTTAAGGTTTTTTATTAAAAACCAGTAAAACTTTCAAAAGGTTTTATGGTAGGCATGTGGAGGAAATTTCCAAATTTGACGCATCAGTGACAAATATAATGTCTGATGCAATTCTCTGCTTCGACTTGTACCGTATGGGCCCGTGCTTTTTCAGGTGAACAATTGAACAACCGTTGCAAGTGTTTATTGTGCGTGCCTCGGGCGAGGCAGGATACGCCCACCTTTTCGCGAACACCTGATATCCTCACTATTTAATAGTGATTCTTAAGCGTATGATTATGCTACAGACGGAGTCACACAATGAACAATGAGATTTCTTATGATTATGGAAACGGCTTTTGTCACTTGGATATGTATGAAGCAAGAGGGTACACTTCAAAGTGACCGCGAAACAGTGGTGGTGCAGAGTTGACTACCCATCGAAGCATCCATAAAATATCACGCCAATCAATTTATTTCAGTACATTTAGGTCTCATCCCTGGGTGCCGTTGTAGAGAGCAACCTTAGCGCTACGACTGTCGTAAGTCTGTGTTAACGTATTGGAGTTACGATCACCTTAGCGCTACGACAGTCGTAAGTCTGTGTTAACGTATGGGAGTTACGATCACCTTAGCGCTACGACTGTCGTAAGTCTGTGTTAACGTATGGGAGTTACGATCACCTTAGCGCTACGACTGTCGTAAGTCTGTGTTAACGTATGGGAGTTACGATCACCTTAGCGCTACGACTGTCGTAAGTCTGTGTTAACGTATGGGAGTTACGATCACCTTAGCGCTAAGATCGCTTTGTACAAAGGCACCCTGACCTTTATAACATTGGATTTGGCTTCAAAGCAAACGTGACGTCACCATAGTCCTCACCACTTGATCATTTTACGAAGATGGGTGCATGTGTGCTTATTCTTATACAGGGAAAACAAGCCATTCCGGCAATAAGGAATACTACTTATAGTAATGACATAAATTGCAAAGTGCACTTTTCAAGAAATATCTATTTTGCTGGCGATAAACATCCTCCATCCGACTGAGGATCGGCAGTCACGTGACTGCGAGCGACTGTAACTTGCAGCGAGTGCAGCGTACGTACATGACCAGCACGAACTGGAAGAAACGTGCATATGTACTATTTAACGCGCTATTGGCCAAGTTCACTGTTAAATATGACCGCTCTCTTATCAACTGTTGTTTTACACGGATTTGAGAGGGATGAAAAGATGTGGTTAAGTCTGGGCAAATTAGCAATTAATCAATTGTCTGTCATGCCTTTTAGCACATTATGAATACACTCATACGTTAATTGAGATATCTAACTATCCGAAAATTGGTCAAATGTTCCCCATGACCTTGTAATATAAGGCCAAGTTCCCCGTTATTAACTGTTGTCTTCAAACACGAAAAGAAAGTTGGTACCATTTGTTAACCAAATCCACGCAGAAGTTCTCAAGATATCTTCAACAGGTTGGTTGGTTGTTTAACGCCGCACTCAGCAATATTCCAGCTATATGACGGCGGTCTGTAAATAATCGAGTCTGGACCAGACAATCCAGTCATTAATATCATGAGCATCGATCCACGCAATTGGGATTGATGACATGCATCAACAAAGTCAGCGAGCCTGACCACCCGATCCCGTTAGTCGCCTTTTACGACAAGCATAGTCACCTTTTACGGCAAGCATGGGTTACTGAAGACCTATTCTACCCCGGAATCTTCACGGGTTCTTCAACAGGACGTATTAGCGGAGGTTCCCCTAAAAAGGGGTAGACTAATACCCTGCGCATGCGCGCTCTCACAATAGGTCTAAAAGAAAAAGCAATAACAGAACGCGTTGGGATGTTAAAAAGATTTAATATTCTAAACAATTGTGTATTTTTTTATTGAAACGCATTTGCTGTTGCGATACAGTAAGGTAACCCTTTATTCATGACAAACTGAATACTGTTTTGGGATACAACTTGAGCCGGATACCTTGCATCCTGAGTGAAAACAGTAACAAGGTGAGACTTCCTTAAAAAAGAAGTGAATCGGTACAGATTAGTCTGACCGGTACGACAGGTAGGGTTCCGACAGACCGGGGATATGATCAGGACAACCTTGGGATCGAACCAACTGCCATCGATTCCTAGCACGACCAATGAACGCCTCTTTGCACAGCAAATTGTGGAACCTCAGTCCATTGCACTTTGAATGATGACGATTAGCAGTAATTGTCTTCGCACGAACATTCCAGCGATGGGATAGCCTTGTGGTTAAAGCGTTCGCTAGTCTCGCTGAAGACCCAAATCGGAGCAATGTGTGAAGCCCATTTCTGGTGTCCCCCGCCGCGATATTGCTGGAATATTGCTAAAGGCGGCGTAAAATCATACTCACTCACTCAAATGCCAATCTAGTCTAGATATTCTATATATTCAGGCTATAAGACTGGACGCTGGGTATGCAACAATGCACATGTATCTTGTGGTGCAGTGTTTCTCCTTTTAAGATCACATTCAAAGTTCCTATAAACACCATTACAAATTGTCATTTTTTCTTGAACAAAACACAACAACTTTGTTTAATTTTGTTGTTCTCAAACAACACAGAAAACAGAACTGCTGACGTAGCGAAAATGCATACCCAGTGGATGGATGTTCGACAGTAAAAATGAACATGTTTGGGCTACGAAATTAACGGCTAGTGATAGTACTAACACCTGTACCCCACACCATGTCGTTACACACAAGTAATCCTTGAGAGAGATAACAGGGATCCTTCATGGCACAACAGATTACATATATAATCAGGTGTCCGGGTCTTAGGGACTGGTCATACAATACAGGTGTGATTGGTTTCAGGACTGTATCACATTTTGCTCCTCAAAAACGACCAGACCGTCAACAAATAAAACTGTCATTATTTACTCATAGTTGTGATAGATTGTGGCCAACTTGCTCTTCCGATGTGTTGTATTTCATTTCAACCCAGTATAATAAATGACAAGTCCCTTATTCTCTTTATGAATATACATTCACCAATGAAAAAGGCGAGCGTTTATTTGAACAATAACAATATTGGCGTGTAAGCTATATTAGATGTGAAACCAGCAACGATCCATGACGTCCTGGTACAGGTAAGCATCAGAATACCTGCACTGTACCCACCCCAGCACCAGTGTCCATACACGCTCACAAAAACACAGCGCTGTTGTACTAATTCTTCAGAAAATGGCTAGAAATGTTGGAAAATACAAGAATATTCAAACATATGACCTGATTAAAACATGATTGCAACAGCATTAGCACATCCAACTGGAAGCTGGTGTCCCAAATTGTGAGTCTTAACAACAAAATAGAGCATGTGACTACTTCATACAACTGTAGTGAATCTACACAAATACAAATGAATTGAAAATCAATTGGCTAGTTCTAACGACTTGGCACTCCAAATTTAGTAAAAGCATTTATACTTTATTCACTTTCAAAATATTAGCCTTTATCCCGGGCTGCCCAGGGCCCACTTGAACAAAGCGATCGTAGCGCTAAGGTGATCGTAACTCCCATACTTTAACACAGGCTTACGATAGTCTCAGCGCTAAGGTCGCTTTGTGCAAGTGGACCCAGATCACGAAAACACCACTCGATGTACTCGTTACCATGACGACTGTAAAAGATAGATGACCTTTGGCTATCAGTAGTCTCCTGAATACAAGACCATGGATCCATGGCTGGTCACCATTGCGATGTTCACTACCCATCAGGTCGGAACAATCAGTCCAAGTGGATGTAGAGATGTGGATTACTATGTGATATCCAAAGCCTATGAAACAGATATCCAAAGCCTATGAAACAGTCACTGTTGCGAGAAGAAGAAAAAGAACGTGTTGTATGCTGACGGTATTGCACAGCACGTTAATACTGAGGATCAATGAGGTTTAAAAGCATCTTCTTGTAGTCTCCTCCGCACTCACTGGCAACAGCCTCGGACAGGGTCGTCTCGTACATGTTCTGGTAGGCCTCCTTCACCTCCTCCAGGTCCACCTGCGGCAGACACAAGGACACCATGTCAAAGGATTTACTGCAGTTGTGTTGTGGGTGCGCGAGCTGGAGGTGCAGCAGTCAGCAGCAATAGTCTAGCCATATCACATAAATGATCGAGTCTGAACCAGGATGCCTGACACCAGCAATAAGCCCCGCCTACAGTTATCTCCATGTAACCTTGTGTTATGAGTAATATTCATAGTTTGAGCTATGAATCGACAGCAGCTGTCGTAAGTTCATATTCAGGTCCGTCTGTTGCTTAACAACCCTGTATTATTCCAGCTATGTCACGACGGCCTGTAAATAATCAAGTGTGGATGAGACGAACCAGTGACTGATATTCTGAGCGAGGACCCGGTTACGATGTCGGGCGCCATGACACGCAATCAACCTATTACCGAGTCTGATTAAGTCGCGTCTTTCGGCAAGCAAAGAGATCTAGAACATATTCTAATTAGAACTCTGAAAGGGGTTTGTGTTCAGGTATTAGAACAAACTCATATTGCCCTGTCCAACGTGCCAACTCCGTTACTCTACCCACGCCCCCATGAAGACATTCCGTGTGTTAGTCTGATAGCTGGATAAGTATGTTCCGGGAGTTAAGTATGTTCCATGTATAACTGACGATGAGACCCGTGTGTACCCTTGAACAAATAGCTATTGGGTGATGTCAGGCCCTCCTACCTCACTTCTGGAGACGATCACTCGGATCAGGTCATTATCGCTAGTCCCAAGTCCAGCCATTGCATCGTGTGCTCTACGGGCAAAGTAGGCGGGTGTGTTCTTTGCGGCTTCAACTGTGGGTACAGCAGAACAAATAGTACAAACAGAACAAATTAGAACAAGATCAACCAGTACATAGTTGAGCCTTACATCTGGTTGCTTGGTTTACGGATCTGCTGAACTTAAGACTCGTAACATCAGAGTGAGAGAGGATGGTTTTACGCCACTTTGGGCACTATTCCAGCAATATCACGGCCGGGGACACCATAATTGCGTACGTAGCATCAGAAGAAAAAGTCAGAATGACAAAACAAAAATTATACCGCCGACGATAAAGTAATCCAAAGCATTTTTGACTAAAGTTATTTTTTTATAACGATAACTCGTAATTACAGTCAAGTCAGATCTATAGCGTTTATAAGGAACAGGCCAAGATAATTTTTGCATCACCTACTGATTTAAATGGATATGATTAAAAAATCTTGTACAATTATTTTTTTGTTACACCTACCGACTATTCTTTTCAAAATCGAAAGCCGCAAACCAAAAAGAAAAGTCTGGCCTTACCGAAACGTGTATATGGTGCTATGAAGCACAGTAAATCTTCCACCAATAATTATCTCCGTGCATTAATTAATAGGACAGTTGTCGCGAGGAACAAATGTCCTTATACGAGAGCGTCACTGTACTATGGTCGTGAATATCATTAATAAGAAAGCTTTTTTTCACATGCAAACTACTTTCATTAGTTTCACTAATGTGTCAGTCGGATTTCATATGATGTTAATAAATAGAATTAATATTTCACTTAAGGCGTTTATAATGAATTTTCAATAGGGTTTCACATTTTCTAAAATAATTATTAATAAGTTTAAAAATGTCTGAAATATGGTTTTTGTAAACTGTTTTGAGTATTGTTTTATGCCGCTGTTAGCAATAGTCCACCACTATCACGACGGGAGATGTTCTACCCATGTGGGGAATCGCACAGGTATTCGGCTTCACGAGCAAACACTTCAACACCTTGGTCACCCCGCTCCTAACTTCGCCTCCAGATACGATCAGTCTCATTAGGCTCAACAAACCATAGTCAGTCATGATAGTATACAAAATACAAACTACGCCAAGCAAGCTTTCACACTGACGAGTAGTGCGTGTGTTTACCTATAGCCAGAAACCCGTTCTGAAGGTCTCCTCCACACTCGCTCCTGATGGCGTCCTCCATGGTGGAGCCGTGCAGTTCCTCATACTTCTCAATAGTTGCCCGGATCTGGGCTTGGCTCCTCAGACACAACACGGCGTTAAACTCCGCCTCCTCGGTCCCCCAGCAGCCCTCGCCCGCCTGGACAGCATAACAAGCTTGAATCAATACCTCGCCCCTCGACCTCACTGTCCCATCCGTTCATTAACTAACACGCCACTGGTCATCTGTTTATTCACTACATCCCACAATGGGCTCTACAAGTCAATATGTTATTTATTACACCCCACAATTAGCTCTACTGGTCAATCTGTTATTCACTACATCCCACAATGGGCTCAACAGGCCAATCTGTTATTTGTTACACCCCACAATTAGCTCTACTGGTCGATCTGTTTATTCAGTACACTCACAGCTTGCCCTTACAGGTCATCTGTTCATTCAGTACACCCATAGCTTGCCCTTACAGGTCATCTGTTTATTCAGTACACCCATAGCTTGCCCTTACAGGTCACCTGTTCATTCAGTACACCCACAGCTTGCCCTTACAGGTCACCTGTTTATTCAGTACGCCCACAGCTTGCCCTGACAGGACTTCTGTTTATTCAGTACACCCATAGCTTGCCCTTACAGGTCATCTGTTTATTCAGTACACCCACAGCTCGCCCGTACAGGTCATCTGTTTATTCAGTACACCCATAGCTTGCCCTGACAGGACTTCTGTTTATTCAGTACGCCCACAGCTTGCCATTTCAGGTCTTCTGTTTATTCAGTACACCAATAGCTTGCCCCTTCAGGTCTTCTGTTTATTCAGTACACCCATAGCTTGCCCTTACAGGTCATCTGTTTATTCAGTACACCCATAGCTTGCCCTTTCAGGTCTTCTGTTTATTCAGTACACCCATAGCTTGCCCTTACAGGTCTTCTGTTTATTCAGTACACCCATAGCTTGCCCTTTCAGGTCTTCTGTTTATTCAGCACACCCATAGCTTGCCCCTACTGTCACATCTCGGAGGTTCAAAATATTAGCTCACGTCATGGAACTTCTGAGCATCTTCAGTCGCCTTTTCGTCGTCGACGTCCTCACCCTCCTCCCTGCCCCCAGCACACAGCGACACAAACATCCTCTGGAAGTAGCCGCTCGTGTCGCCGGTCAGGTCGTCCTCCAGCTCACTCTCAAACTCTGAAGTAATGGAGACACATGGCTTGCTTTACGTCTGTGGCAACTACAAAGGTGTTTCCCAAATTTGTTCCAATTCCCCAAAACGCTCACAACAGAAACGTGCATCATAAGCCACTTGAACTAAAATCTAAACCACAACTTTGAAACAGGAAGTCGCATGCTTCTCCGCACGTACTTTTAGTAAACATGACACATCCCGTTTTAGAAGTAACACGCCCTATGCAGTTTCACTTTAAAACTGTAAGGCCAGTGTCTCTAGTAACTGAGGAAGTCGTATGCGCTTCAGATGTAATGACACAACACTTCCGGCTTTAGAAAACACATACCAAATACAGTACACCTTTGAGACAGAAAGTGTCACGTGCAAGTTCCTCTTTCTTCACATCATATTTTGTCAGGACTTCAAACATGTCCAGCGAAGAATATTTGTAAGACCTGGGGCAATTTTTTTTTCTGTATTACCCTAAAAAATCGTATGGGAGACCCCTTAGTACACCGATGTACCGAATTGTAAGTACATCTCGAACAGTTGCATTAGACGAGGGATGACCCCTGTGGTAAACCCTCCATGTTCGAGGGAGTTCACTACAAAGTCCCGTTTACATGTGCAATGTAGATGTACCTTCTTTATAAATCTCTTTTATTTGGTTTATTTCGTCATTGCTTCTTGTGCACATGATTTCTACGATCGTTGTTTCATCCGTCCCTGCACCCTGAAGTCAATAAAATAATTAATTTAAATGATTACAATTAAAAATGCATGCATGCACTTGATGGTATAAAGAGAAGGACCAATCGATAAAAAAAAGCATTTATATGACTCACTCTTGAAACTGATTGGTCAAAATAACATTAAAAGTGATCGGTTCCAAAATAAAATAAGAGGTATCAAATCTAATGTTAGAGTACCTCAAATTTCCAAACAGAAGATTTATCTCCTTATTCTCCCTTCTAAATTTCATATTTAAAACGTCACTTCGTGATAAGTTCAAAATTCAATTATACATTAAAACACAAAAAATGTATCCTAATTCACGATAAAAGTACATGTTTTAAGATGATATAATAGTACTCACTGATATGGCGTAGTGTATCTGGCGAGCATCAAGCGCTCGCGGGGGCGCCATGGCTGCGACAACAACCTCCTCAAAGTCTCCGCGGAGTTCCGACTTCAGGTCGTCGATTAGATCCTGAAACATGGCGATAGGCAGTTGGTGACTTCAGGAAACAGGAAGGGGCAACCTTTACTGAGACACTATAAGCTAATGCCCCTCATACATGGCCCCGGTGACACACATTAATCAATGCCTTCAATATATACACTAATATATTTGTCGTTAGAAAAAAAATTGGTTAAAAAGAAATAGCTCAGACACAAAACATGCCCTCAGGAAAAATGGGTCAGTGGGTAGTTCAAAGAAGAAAAATATCATGAACGAAAAATGTTTGATTTGAAAAGTTACTGATGTGATTTGTTTGTTTGTTGTTTAACGCCGCACTCAGCAATATCCCAGCTATATGACGGCGGTCTGTAAATAATCGAGTCTGGACCAGACAATCCAGTGATTGACATAATGAGCATCGATCCATGCAATTGGGATCGATGATATATGCATCAACCAAGTCAGCGTGCCTGACCACCCGATCCCGTTAGTCGCCTTTTACGACAAGCGACTAACGGGGTCGGGGACTGATGTGATAAAGGTGAGAGACTTCATTAAAAATAACAGTCAATTATTTTGGCAGACATTTTTCATTTTTGCTCGGTAATGATGCTGACATACCAAGGATCAAAATCATTACTGTGAGATTCGAACCCAACTCTAAACGATTGAGGTACACGCGCCCCCTTCCCACCTAAGCCACATAAGAACACTGTAGATTTCTTTACGAACGCTACCTTTCCATACGCCTGCTTAAAGGCGGTGGCTACTTCCTGCCTCTGCTCGTTGGACAGATTGGAGACTGTCACCAGCACCTGGTCCTCATCCGTGCCTGTGTGAGGGAGGGACAAATTAACCCCAAACAAGCCACATCATAATCGAGGACGTTTACGTTTACGTTTCCGTAGCTCATAAATCGTGATTACGAAGTATAGACATTTAAAAATAAATATTGCAAAAGCAGTACAATAGTCTAAAATGAATAAGTTTCACTTGACCCGACACTTACCAAATCCCGACATGGCATTGCGGAGCGTCTCTGCAACTGCACCAGCATCGAGGTCGCTAATTCCATAAATTGTTCCCTAAAACACAATACGTTTCATTAAAGTGTTTAACTGAGTGAGACTGGGTGAATGGTGTTCAATGCGGCAGTCAGCAATATCCCAGCTACGGCGGCCTGTGTGATAATCGAGCTTTTACCATGCATGCAGGCCACATGTACTGAAAGCTGAGCCTAAGTACGATCAGTCAAGTCCCGGAGGCTGTACAACCAGTCCCCTGTGCAGCCGACTCCTATACGACAAGCATAATTATGGTACTGGGGGACCTGTCCTGACATGAATACCAATGTGGGTTCATAAATACGGCCCAAACTGTACATTTGTTCTTAAGACACTACTCTTCATCCATCCCATTGGTAACATTAGGGGTAAGGTGAAACGGGGTTTAACGTCGCGTTCAAGATGATTTCAATCATAGAGCGACGTGCCTGCTCGTGTGTGTGGCTGCTTGTATACTAGTCCGGCTTATGTCGGTTTTATAGTGCTAGACACCCATCAACCTATAACTGATTCGAAGGATGCGACTTATAGGCGGAGGCGTTTTGGAGCAGACAAAACCTAATGGTAGAAAGTGGTTGGTTGTTGGAATAGTTCATTAACAGAGTTTTAGGCATAAAGTTGAACATTTTGAAGCAGTATTAGGCACATGACAGTTAAGCATACACCAGAACTATTTCTGAGCATGTTCAACCTAATAACGCAAAGCAATATGTACAATCAAATTTGATAACTCTCGCTCTTCAAATACGACTTCCATATTTACTACTGCAGCTAGGGTTCAACAGACATAATGTCTTTCCCAAACAGATCCTCGCATCAACAACTCTCAAAATATGTTTGTAAAAGTATATCATCTACTATATATCTAGGCACTGGTATTAAATTTGCGACTGCTTACAGCGGGACAAACGACTACCCTCGTTGGAGTAACACGACTAAATCGGCAGAGTGATTCGTGAAATGCGTGCCTTGTGAAACTGACGTCTTTTTCTTTCACTATAGTCAGTAAGGGAGTTTAACGTAAAATTTAATGGCCCCTACGTCGATCGTCATTGGGTCGTCTGTTTCATTTAAGACAATGTAGCAGTGATGGGGTTATTTGTTTGTTTGTTGTTTAACGCCGCTCTCAGCAATATCCCAACTATATGACGGCGGACTACACGATCGAGACTGGACCAGACAATCCAGTGATTGACATCATGAGCATAGATCTACGCAATAGGGATACGATGACATGCATCAACCAAGTCAGCGAACCTCACCATCCGATCACGTTAGTCGCCTTTTACGACAAGCATAGTCGCCTGTTACGACAAGCATGGGTTGCTGAAGACCTATTGTAACCCTGATCTTCACGGGTCAGAGGTTGGGGGTCGCCAGGCTACAATAAAGCGTTCGCTCGTCACAACTGCCCAGGTTCGATTCGCTATACATGCGAATTTTCTATGTCCGTCGTCGTGCAATACTGAGAGTCAGAAAAAGACCTAAAAATCCACCCACTCAAGCAAATGTACCAGTGAGTTGGGGAAAACGCCGCTTTGAACATTATTCCAGTTATATCACGGTGTGTCAGCTTAATGCGGGAGGAAAGCCTGAAGTGATGCAGGACGTTACCACTTCCGTGAAACCATGCACGAGCACGGGTATGGTGCAGACATAATCGGGTCGAAGCGGGATTCGAACCTACGGTCACAGGTTTCTTGCGTGTCCAACGGACTAGGGCTGGGACGGGTAAATCGGGTACCCGGGTCGGGTGGGTACTGAGTAGGACCCGGGTACTCACAGGACTACCCGGACCCGTGGTTAGTCACGCGATATATTGTTTCATGACAAACAAAAAAATCACTATAATTATAACTACATGGTTATACGACAATTTAAAATCTCTAATGTTCGCATTTCTTCATGACTATGAACACGTTCCTTCTGACTTAAATGTTTGAACAAAGCTAAAACTTCAGTCAACTTCAGTCAACTTCAGTGTATGCATGACCACATCGTTTTTATAGTGTATCTAAAAACATTCTGCCAGGGCTACTGTCAAACTATTCCTAATCGGACATTTTATACCTATCCCTTGACACCAACAGCGGGTACCCGGGTAGGGTCGGGAAATAGGGATGTGGGTACCCGGGTAGTAAATTTGGACTCGTCCCAGCCCTACAAGGGACCCAACTCTGCACAGCTAATAGCGGCACCTTAGACGACTAGGCCACCTGTACCTCAGTGTATACGCTCATTAGCGTCGCATGCAAATCCTCACTATTGGCAAACGGAAAACATTTATCGGGAAATCCAATGTGTTAAGATAGTCTAAACACGGTACTTGAGATAACGTTGTGTCATTACATCAAACTGTATGACCGAACTCTGAACTGTGTTGTTGAAACATGCCCGCTAGCTCATCACACACCCAGCCGGTCATGTGGAGATGTGTCACTGTCGCCGCGGGGGCAGTTATATCCACCGCTCTGTGCTACGTACAACCTACATAGGTATATATATAGCGCTATGAGGTTCGGGTTCACGGAACATATATAGGTATTTCCGGTATTCGCCTCACCCTCGCGAGTTTTGTGACTTTTGCTCTTTGCCAGTAAACATCGACCTTGCTCCGAGATCAGATAGTGGCTCGTCTATCAAATGTCTAGACTTTCTCCGTCTTCTTTACATCCTTAAAACTAAGTTGCGTGTCTCGGCAGAGATGTTTCAGGCTAGATGTGTCAAGGTATAACACAATATTATCGTATTTGTTTCCATCGCAACTCTGGAAAATATTTTAATATCAAACCTCGTTATAACGCGGGTCGCCTAGCTTGTAATCTGCTCGCACTATAACAGGCGTGGCATTATAGTGAGTATGGGTTTTACATCGCTTTTAGCAAGATATCAACAATATCCCGGCGGGGAAACACAGGAAATGGGCTTCACACATTGTACCCATGTGGGGAATCGAACCCGTGCCTTCGCTGTGACCGGAAGTAAGGCTGCCCAATCCCTTCTGTGGCACTATAAAGAGGACTTCTTTTCCCGTATAGTATATCCAGAGACCATATAATTGTCTCTGAGTATATCAGAACGCTGGTGTACAAAACTAAAACAGTGATGTCATTCCCCGATAGCAAGTTTTGAACGTTTAAAATCTCGAATGGTTATGGCATTGTCACACTCAAGTCATTTCCTGCACATCACGCCTACTTGAGTGGCTTGCCAAACAGGCATGCACTGACAAATTCTACGCCCATACATGAGCTCACACCCAGCAAGCTACCACCTCCCGATACCCTCGCCTACACAAACATGATAAACGGCCAGATTGTCACGACTTGGTGACCAGCGCAAATCATACGCGGCTATGTAAGCAATGTTGTCCCCAGCTAGCCCATCCGCCTGCCAACGTCTAATCTTGTCATTTGGGCGTGGAGAGGGTTCAGCGTGTCTCAACCAGTGCCCCATGACCGTATGAGTAAGTTATGGACACGTTACTTGTTTCAGTAAGTTGACGAAGTCAGAAATACATAATGCAAGCTTGGAGATTCATTGTATGTATGGCCAAAGTTACAGCCTAGCTTGTACAATACACCATCTCATCTGTCGGCGAGGAATTCGCGCCATGTGATACCCAAGTCACAAGAAGCAAATCCAATTTCAAAATGCCAATTAAACGAATAATGTACTGTTTCGTTCGTTTTTTAATAACGTTTTTTAATAACGTCATAAAAGCAAAGTCGCACATTTGTTTGTTTGTTGTTGTTTGCAATATGCCAGCTATATGACAGGGTCTGTAAATAATCGAGTCAGGACCAGACAATCCAGTGCCTGACATGAGCATCGATCTACGCAATTGGTTTGATTGTTGTTTTAAGCCGCACTCAGCATTATTCCAGCTATATGACGGCGGTCTGTAAATAATCGAGTCTGGACCAGGCAATCCAGTGATTGATATCATGAGCTTCGACCCACGCAATTTGGATCGATCATGAATCGACCAAGACAGCGAGCCTGACCAACCGATCCCGTTGGTCGCCTCTTACCACAAGCATAGTCGTCTTTTACGACAAGCATGGGTTGCTGAAGACCTTTTCTATCCCGGATCTTCACGGGTTTTCGCGGTTGGGATACCGTGACATGCATCAACCAAGTCAGCGAGCCTGACCACCCGATCCCGTTAGTCGCCTCTTACGACAAGCATGGGTTGCTGTATGTATGTGACAAGTTGCTTATATGCTAGTACACATTGTAGGTGAGTTAATAGAGACATATCGGGAAATTACACATCCGTGACGGACAGGCCTTCACTCACGCCCAGTGTATCGGATCACTAGAATCCATCATACAGAATACCTTATAATTGCACTACCATATGCTCCAACAGGAAGACTGATCATTAGGCAGTTCACAATGTGATGCGTTCATCGACCAGAAATATAGATTTGTCTATAAACTAAACATACGCTCGCGGGACAATTAACTATCCTCTTTCATCCATGACCTTCTGCACTAAACCTACTGCGGGAATGTCAGTTCCATAGCTTCCACTGATCTCACGATGATCCTGAATAGTTAATGGTTGTGAAAATATGCTCAGGTAAGTCTGCTCATATTACACAGGAAGACATTTATGTGTAAGATCGAGTTTGATAAATACAATCGTTTGGTAATATCGTTATTTGTATAACATATATAAATATTGAATATGCTAATACACATGTAAGAAGCGGAGTGAAAATGTCAGACACATTAAATACAGCGTCAAAAAGCTCCACGTTTAACATCACCGCGAAGCTTGAATGAACACTGCACTCCCTCCAAGCTAGTATGTACACATACCTTCGAGCGACCCCGCCCACGAGAGAAAACATAGATCACTTTTTTAATCCACGGCTCGCAACTACATACCACTATCAAAACCATTGGTGTATGGGCACCCGGAATACCTCCATCAATAACCACAACGAAAATCTGTAAAATAGAGAGTTTGTCTTACCGGCATATTTAGCAGTTTAGCTTGGTATCCCTTCAAAATCCCAGGTCAGTCTGACAGGTCTGGCGTGTCACGTGACATCCGGCTAACCAATGAACGACTTCACTACGCAATCGTGCATTTCGTGGCAGACGATGCCGTGTCTTAGTGATCATCGTATCAACGGGATGCACCCGACAGAATCACGACTCGTCGATAGCGCGAGTTATCTTGTTTTCAAAACCGAGATATGTTTCGGGAAGTTTATTCAAGGCCACGCAGGTGGGCGAATGACTCACCCATGGTGATACTGTGTAGCGTTAACACCTGTGCAGAGAGATGTGGGTTTCAATTGTTAAACCGTCACGTTATGCTGCCTGCTTGCGGCATATTCATAAATTGCACAACACAGCCATTATACAATTCACCTTTATTGGATATTTACCTACAATTCGACTGAATCAATTGAATATATGGGGGATATATTGTCGAATTTGCTCTCGATGCACGATTTGTAGGCAACATGTCTAGTGCAAACAGTGTACACCTTTCCGTTACTGAATTCGAATATACTTTCAAAAACAAATAGATGCAGTGAAATTTCGGCACTCTGGACCTTATTAATTTGGACACCTACAGACAGGACGATAACAGGATCCATGATTAGTTAATCCAGAGGTTTTTTTAATCCGCACAATTGCCTTCGTGTCGTATTGAGGGGGTTTCGCTATATATGCCGTTTGATATATGTAACAGCATTTGCTACTTAAAACATGCTTACTGCATGGCATAGCGAGTTAGTGTTGGGTACTTAAATTGTTTGACAAAGGGTTTATTGCTGAACGCTGTACGTTCGTATATTGAAGTTCGATATTTACATCTTACGTCTGTGGTGTGAACGGTGTTCGTGCAATCTTATAATGTTAAACCAGGAGTTGATGCATCCAATATAAGATCTTATAGATAATACATATCGGCCATACTCTACATATGCCAACATTTGGGAACTTTGTACAAGTTAAGAGCTGTATTTTTCTACTTTTTCAAAATGTTTGAACCCCCATATTCCCACGCAGTACAAGGGATTGGTTGAATTTGTGTTGCAACAAGTTAAGCGTAATGTTATGGAGCTGTGTACATTCATGTCAGTGGCGGATCCAGCATTGTTTTAGTGGTTTTTTCAACAACAACAACAACAACAACAAAAATGGGGGGGGGGGGGGGGGGGGGGGGAGGGGGGGGGAGAGGAGTCCACCTACAAAACGATATGTAAACCATTATTACTTTTAATTTAACGACCAATTCAACATTTATGATTCAAGGTATTCACATTTTTTAACATTATTTTAAAACTTTTTAAATTTAAAAAAAAATAATGGGGGGGGGATTTCTTTTTTACATATAAAAATGGGGGTGACCACCACCAGCAACCCACCAACACCTCCTTGATCCGTCACTGCATTTGACCTGCATGTTTGAGTTTTCAAGTTTGAGCCTGGAAGGAGTGGGCGTGTTACCGGGCTCACCCATGTATGACACATGTAACATATTGATTCCAGCTACCGGCCAGCATATTTGTATCGGTAAGGAAAAACGAAGTCATTGTCGGTAGGTGCCACATTGTTTGGTTTCCAGTCTGGCGTCATTGACTAGGGTGTTACCTGCACAGAATTACGTACGGGTTCGCTTGAGGTAAAAAACTAAGACTTTCGAAATACTCTACTCTTAACACCTTTGTATTCGGTAGGTCAACATAATGTAAAGTGTCAACAATAGGGGCTGGGAGATTTCTGTGTAGTTTTTATAGACACTGTTCATATTTCATCGCTCAAATTTTAGGGTCTGTGCTTCAGTGACAACTCACAAAAGAACCACTATCACGAGAATATCTCAGGTGAGGTGAGGTGAAATGGGGTTAACGTCGCGTCCAAGCTTTTTGCATTTATATAGCGACGCGCATGCACGTGTGGCTGCATGTACTAAGCGGGATTAGTGCCCATTTTATAGTGCTAGCCCACTGAGATACCATGCCGAGGTTTAACATGAATACTGGACACTGTATACTGACCAGTTCTTGTTTCAGCCCCTTGATATCGAGCGCCAGGTAGGATAACAACAAGTACCATATTTTAAGGTCTTTTCGTATGGCGCGGCCTCGGATCGAACCCCGAACCTTCAGCTCTCCGGGCGGATACTCAACCACTAGACCACGAAGGCGGTCAACATCTCATGAAGAAGGGTGTTAGTGTCAAGACGTATGTTTTGTTCAACTTAAACTTGTCTAACTTGCCTGAGATACCATATCTTGTGTGTTGAAATATTATGTTCAGGCCATCCGTTTCCTTCTATGTACTTGCGCACGTGACTGGTTCGCTGGACTTTTTTGAGTGAGTGAGTTCGTTTAACTCCGCTTTGAACATTATTTCAGTTATATCACAGCTATCAGCTTGATGCGTATACACATTTTGTGAAACCCACGAGCACGGGTATGGTGCCGACAAAGCTAGAAGCATAATCAGGGCGAACCGGGATTCGAACCCACGATCAAAGGTTTCTTGCACGTCAAAGGGTCGCAACTGCGCACAGAGAATTGCGGTCCCTGTTGCCTAAGGTGCCGCAAATTTTGCCACATCCGTACTTTTGGCCACCCCCTTTGCTGCACGAAGTATGACGAGACGATCCCGAGGCAATAGTGATGGCAGCTCGGTTCCCCCGAGAATCTGACACACTTTGAAAGGCAAGACATGTGAAAAGGTCCACATCCGGTAAAAGTCGTTTCTTAACAGTGCTGAAAAATATTCAAAATATTAGGGGCGGATGGATCGAAACAAACTATATTTTAAGAAGCCACCTCTACCATAACGCTACACCGAGTTCTGTCTCACACATGCTTAATACATCACCTTACTCTGACTGGACTATATGCCTCTGATGCTCACAACACATACCTATACAGCAGAATTGCCTTGGCCAAGTTGTTGCTGAGTAGTCCTTATTATCACAAGACAAGGGTATTGGGGACATAGTTGATCCACCATGCAACACTATGAGTCGACATGCGACGACGAACACGGATCGACAGCCTCAAGCAAGCAATACTAGGGACCACCCACCCAGCCTTGTCAGTTTTTGCCTTCTATTCCAGCCTAAGTCTGTGTCTGGTCCAAGGATCATCTCCGTCAGAGAACATCTAAATTGAAATACGTCGTAGAGCGTTTCTTGCCAAAATCCGGGCATGTGCACACCTCTTCAAGCAACAGATGGAATATTTTATAAGTCAAAATGCACTATCGGTAATATTTAAAGATATCATATCTAGTAGTCTATTTCTAACCATGTTACATTCGAGCGAGTCAGTTGTGGAGCCTAGAGAGAAAATTCATTCTCGCCGGTATTTTGACATCTCACGCCCACCAAAGGGTAAAATAGAACTTCCGCGAGGTAGGGTTATTGGGACATGTGGCCCTAATATCTGATGACAGGACCTCCGAACAAAGTAGCAATATTTCTCCTAAATCTGTCTTTGACCATGCCATTCAGAGATAGTGGTAGATCGTGGTAAAGATCCTCATCGCAGGTATGCGTCATTTGTCATATGATTAAATATTCTCAAGGTGCGCTAAGGATAAAGTTTTGATGATATAAAAGAATAAAAAAACAAATAAAGATTGAATATCCCTATACACAATGATTTGGCAACCCCTATAGGACCTCAATTACATAACGAACGGGCAGAGGCATGCAGTCATGGACACGAGGTGCACGAGGTGCACGAGGTGCTTGATGACCTGCGTGTGAATGTTTCGTGGCAGAATCGTTGCCCATCAGTATCAGAGAGCACAATATTTGCTACTGAGGATTGGAACAACTTAATGTACTTATGCCCTCTCAGCGTCAAAGAAGTTGTTTGACGACCGAAAAATTAGACAGATGCATAGGCATGCTTGAAACTGTCTCTACACAACGTCACGTTGTAACCGTTTTGGGGGGCAGAGCATGGAATCGATACCAAACATTTGGATCACCTACCCAGCGACATGCAGGTGGTCGACAAGCGTTTCACCACACAGCGGGAAGACAGGTTTTACCTGACAGCAGCAAGACGTCATCATTTCGTGACTGCTACCACACTCTGAAATGACCTGCTACTGGCTTTGAACATCTACGAAAATCTTATTTGATGGACAAGTATCAGTCAGCATACAGAGTCTCGCACAGTACTGAGACGGCTCTTCACTGTGTACTGAACAACATAAAGACGTTAGCCGACTCTGGAGACATTGCTATGTTAGTCCTCGGCAATGCTCCTACTGAAGAGCGAAACAATCTTCCCCTTGGCAACCATCCTGACACGTTTTGGGAGCTGACGGGTGATCTGACTGATTATTGGTCACACGTTGTTTGTTGGCATTGTGTGGCACACGACAACGGAGTTTTGTTCATTAAACATGTCTTCACGTAATACTTTCTTTGGCTATTTCAACAGATGCACACGGTTTGACGTATTACCTTTTAAAGCGGTGATCGTCAGCAAACTTTGAGTAGTATATGTAGGTCTACTATAGGGCGGTGGAAAGATTCACCAAGGTGATGCTAATAGGTCCACAACGAGCCGGTGCAGACAAAGTGAGTGAGTCAATGTAGCTCTTTGAAAAGTAATTCATTTATATCAAACCGTGTCAGCTTAGTGTGGGAGAAAAGCTTGAAGTGACACGGCTCTTAAATGTTTGCCACGTTGGTGACCACTAGCACGAGTACTAACAACCTAAGGGTCATATTCAATACGTTCTTGCATTCGAACCCACGATCAGTGGATCCTGCTATGACCAAGGGACGCAACTTTGAACAGCAAACTGCGGCTCCAAATGTTACTGAGCCATAAAGCCTTCAACAAGGAGTAAGGAGTCGCATATGATGTGGAGTAGACGTAGATTCAACAAGATAAAGTGCATGAGAATGATGAGATACAGTGTTCGGGGAGTATTGTTGGCGTATGTGTGTTGGGGTGGGGTGTGTGTGTTATTTTGGCGTCTGTGGGTGTCGGAGGAGTAATGTTGATATCTGTGTGGGGGGAGTAATGTTGGCGTCTGTGGGTGTCGGGGGAGTAATGTTGATATCTGTGTTGGGGAGTAATGTTGGCGTCTGTGAGTAGGGGAGTAATGTTGCTATCTGTGTGAGGGGGTAATGTTGGCGTCTGTGGGTGTCGGGGGAGTAATGTTGATATCTGTGTTGGGGAGTAATGTTGGCGTCTGAGTGGGGGAGTAATGTTGATATCTGTGTGGGGGAGTAATGTTGGCGTCTGTGAGTGGGGGAGTAATGTTGATATCTGTGTGAGGGAGTAATGTTGGCGTCTATGAGTGGGGGGAGTAATGTTGGCGTCTGAGTGGGGGAGTTATGTTGATATCTGTGTGAGGGAGTAATGTTGGCGTCTATGAGTGGGGGAGTAATGTTGATATCTGTGTTGGGGAGTAATGTTGGCGTCTGTGAGTGGGGGAGTAATGTTGATATCTGTGTGAGGGAGTAATATTGGCGTCTATGAGTGGGGGAGTAATGTTGATATCTGTGTGAGGGAGTAATGTTGGCGTCTATGAGTGGGGGAGTAATGTTGATATCTTTGTGGGGGAGTAATGTTGGCGTCTGTGAGTGGGGCAGTAATGTTGATATCTGTGTGGGGGGAGTAATGTTGGCGTCTGTGAGTGGGGGAGTAATGTTGATATCTGTGTGGGGGGAGTAATGTTGGCGTCTGTGAGTGGGGCAGTAATGTTGATATCTGTGTGGGGGGAGTAATGTTGATATCTGTGTTGGGGAGTAATGTTGACGTCTGTGAGTGGGGGAGTAATGTTGATATCTGTGTTGGGGAGTAATGTTGGCGTCTGTGAGTGGGGGAGTAATGTTGCTATCTGTGTGAGGGAGTAATGTTGGCGTCTATGAGTGGGGGAGTAATGTTGATATCTGTGTGGGGGAAGTAATGTTGGCGTCTGTGAGTGGGGGAGTAATAATGTTGGCGTCTTTGTGTGTTTGGGGGAGTAATTTTGGCGTCTGTGGGTGTCGGGGGAGTAATGTTGTCATCTGTGTGTGTTGGGGGAATATTGTTGGCGTCTGTGTGTTGGGGGTAATGTTGGCGTCTGTGTGTTGGGGGTAATGTTGGCGTCTGTGTGTTTGGGGGTAATGTTAGCGTCTGTGTGTTGGGGGTAATGTTAGCGTCTGTGTGTCGGGGAGGTAATGTTGGCGTCTGTGTGTTGGGGGAGTAATTTTGGCGTCTGTGTGTTGGGGGTAATGTTGGCGTCTGTGTGTCGGTGAGGTAATGTTGGCGTCTGTGTGTCGGGGAGGTAATGTTGGCGTCTGTGTGTTGGGGGAGTAATTTTGGCGTCTGTGGGTGTCGGGGGAGTAATGTTGTCATCTATGTGTGTTGGGGGAATATTGTTGGCGTCTGTGTGTTTGGGGTAATGTTGGCGTCTGTGTGTTGGGAGTAATGTTGGCGTCTGTGTGTTTTGGGGGAGTAATGTTAAGTGTCATTGTATTTACGACCGCTTCCGTGGTCAGTGGGATAGAGTGTCTGCCCGGAGAGCGGAAAATCGGTGATTCGATCCCCGGACACTTCATTCCAAAAGACGTTTTAGGCTGGTATTTGTTGTTACCCTGCTTAATAGCACCAAGGGCCTAAACATGCACTCGTCGGCTCACTTTACTGTGTCTGAGTTAGATATTCTTGTTAAACTGCGACATTGTATCTCAGTGGGCTAACGCAATAAAACCGCCGGGGAGTCCGCCATTAGTCTGGACTAGTATAAGCAGCTACACACACACGCACACGTGTACATGCACGTCGCTATATAAGTGCAATAACGTTAAACCTCATCGCGCCTTTTTGTAGTTACCGTTTCCCCAAGACAGACGCAGAGACAGTGGGACTACTGAAGTATTTTACTGCAGCTTCTCCGAGTCTTATTCTGACAACTTGCGGTGACCTCTCTTCTCACCATGTTTATGCGATTTGGAGCAGATTTACAGGGCTTTTTAAATGTCTCAGGTTAAGTCAGAACTAGCTTTCTGCAGAGGTTTAACAAACATATGCACACGTTAAGCTCCGTGTTGGTAGTTTTATTACAACTTTAAATAGAAAGCGTTTAAAGATTCTTTATTGTCGTAAAAATGACATGTCAGGATACATTTTCATATTTTATATAACACGGCCCTAGATGTTATTAACTTTCAGGTGTTGTCTTCGTAATATACAAACCCAACCACCACCTCCCTCAAAATCCTTTTTCGGTTTCGCCTATCCTAGGTTGTAAAAGATTATCTCAAATAACAACAAAAATTATTCCACAGATGTGTTCATTGTGTAAATTGTGCACAAAGTGTCTTGAAGTTTAAGGCCGACAGAATACGTTTAACTAAAGCCGCATACATGGCAACAAGTTTTGCAAGAAAAACAAAACAATCTGAAATATCTTCGTTTTTTATATAAATAAATCCAACATACCAACTAAGAATTTCAATTTTAAAATCTGCTTTCCAAGAATTCACAATGTGTAAATTTGATGTTAATACAGAATAACGCGTATGTGGTGACAAATGAAAGGGCTTACAATGCTACCTAGCTTAATTATGACACTGTATTATATTTTCTAAAGAGTTAACACATAGACTTAAATCAACATTTTGGAGTGAGTTTAAATTTAACGTCGCATCGGCATTATTTCAGCCTTACAGCGACCAGCATTTTGGAGACTCCATACCAAATAATCTCAAATGACGCTTGAAGCTTTTTTGTTTTGTGTGTGTGTGTGTGTGTGTGTGTGTGTGTTGTTGTTTGTTGTTGTTGTTTGTTTGTTTGTTTTAATTTGTTTTTGTTTTTGTTTTGGGTGTGTGTGTATGGATTGGACGTTCGTTTTGTCATTAGGCTGGGGTGGGGTTGGGTGTGGTGTGGTGGGGAGGTGGGGGGAGAGGTATATTCTGTTTACTTTCTAAGACAAGCCATTGTCCGTAATACCACAAACTATCGGGGTGTAATATATATTAAATCAATATGTGTCAAAGTCATGTTATATTTATTGAAGCACTCTTGAAATACTTTGCAACCATGTGGAGATTGCCCTATCCAAAACATGACCTCGCTAATCCTGGGTCACGCGCGTATTAATAGGAAATAACTAAATTCATGGTTAAACAAATAAACACGTAATGGAATTTACATGATATTAATGAAACAGTACAGTTATACCATTTCCATGCATTTAATATCTATTTGAGATGAAGTTCCAAATATATCGACACGTGTCAAGAGAACATGTTTTCTTGGCGTAGTCTGACAACTGCGTGAACAGTCTGACAGTATGCCGCTGTCACTCAGTTAATCGGGTGTCGTGTTTCTCTAGCTATGGCGTAACCATGAAAATAACAACAGCAGTAAGGGCGATTTTCTTGATTTTCATGCAAAAGTTACCTTTTCCTCTCTAAAAGTCCTTCATATTTATACTTGTGAACTCTTTGTAATTGCAGTTGCTGCGCTCTAAAGCGACGGGGCCGCTACCTTCTCTGGAGTACTTGGACTTATCACAACTCGGGTTGGGTATGTAAACAAACTTCCCACATGTTTCTCGCCTCTAGCTACCGTGAATTTTATAATAATTTGAGTAGTGTTTGTTGACTATGGTTGTTACACAAAAAATGAAGACGATTAAAAGTATTTCCAAACATTCTAAACTAGATCTAACTGTTATAATCCAGGATCTGACACTCTGAAAAAACATAATTCTATTTTAATTTGTTCAGTTTCAATTTTGACATTTTGACATTTGTGAATGATTAATTTCATTTCTGGTAGGTCGTATTTAAGTTTTTTAAGCATCTCCGTAATTAGTTTGAAATGGTAATTTGTTTTGTTAGGTAGCTGACAAAATAGTTGTCAATGAACCTGAACAATTATATTGTATATAGATCTAGATCTACATACTGTACAGTTAGTGCTATTACTCATGTTTCATATCAACATCTAGGTAGCTGTAACATACCAACACAAATGTGACTATGACATGTTTAATTTTAGATTTTTTTAGGTTTAATTAATTCAAATATGAAAAGACTTGAGAAGTGTTGGTATTCAAAGGGGTAAGACTTCTGCCAATATCCTACCCCCTCAAAAGTATATATATTTAAAAAGATTGCAATATGACAATATATTTATTTAACTTTTGGAGGGGGGATACAGGCGGAAGCTTTCCTTCAAATGTATTCAGAGTACAATGTGACTTATTACATCTCGTTATAAATGCAGTTATTTGTTTGTCCAAATGAGGAACCTCATAAAAAATAATATTTAAGTAATGTATTTTATTTAGTGTTTCTCATGAGGGAGGATTTGAGGACTTTTTGTTTCTTTGTTTCTTTGGTATGTTACAATAAAACTAAACTTTGCTTTAATGAACCATGTGACCTCATTTGGCTACGCCCATGCAGATCAAAAGGAAAAAAAAAATGGACTTTAGTAAAAAAAATAATTTGAGTTTGGGGACATGATAAACAAGAATTTTGTTTCAATATGTTTAATTTGAATTGAAGCCTCAAGTACATCTTGATCTTCTTTCCTAAGTTTGAAATTTCCTTCCACAGTATCCATCGAGAAACTGAGTAGTTGCCCCAAGCTCCAGACACTCAAGCTAAGAGGAAATAATATTTGTGAAGTTTCTAACTTGGAGTGTTGTACTCATTTGTGGCATTTGGACTTCAGTAATAACAAGGTATGTATTCAGTGATGAAATCCTGTGTTTATCTGAAATATTAATTGATGCTTCATTCAAGTGAAATAACATTATTTCACTCGAAAGAAGTAACCCTTTTGTCACAAACTATTCTCTGTTCGTCTCATTTACTGTATGGTTAAGATAATACATAAGAAATAAAGAACAGTCTTTTTTCTTTTGTCTAAGTACATATTTATCTCGTCTTGTGACCAAAAAAGTCATGGCTGTACCACACATTTAACGTTATGCTTGTGAAGATGTCCAATATTTCTGATCTTTCAAAGAGAAAAAAACTTTTGACAAGAAAATCCATATCTCCTATTATATTATGTATTATATATATTTTTTCAATTGTTTGTTAAAAAACAAAGGGTTTTTATTTTTTAAAGTCATGTTTAATTGTTATATGAAAAATAAGACATACAAATCATGAAAATTGTCCATTAGAACAGCTAAACATATTTGCCCCACTAAATTTTTCAAACTAGAAATATAAAAGTGCTGTTTGAATGAAAATGTGCTCCTTTCAGAAATATTTTGTTTGTAAGGATATAACCTCAGATTAACCCTAAGGTTTTTTTAATTTGTTTATCCCCCTGACAGCTTCACCAAGAGAATCCTGACTTTAACAGTTCATAATATTTTTTATCTATTTTGTTTTTAGTAATTTTATAATAAGATACAGTATAAGAAAACTGACTTGAACCCAAGTTGTCTGTTTTACAAGTGTCCACTCACCTCACTGGCCCATTTAATATTTTAGTCAACTTGCCTAAGGCACCATGATATTTATCAAGTTTAACTTTTTAACTACACATTCCCTCATTTATTTTGATTTGTTTTTTAAAAATTGTATACCATAGCAAAGCAACCCTAATTCATTTACATGCAGCACCAATAATCATGATCATGATGTCGGGGGGTGGGGTCGGTAGCCTGGTGGTTAACATGGTTAAAGCATTCCCTCATTACTCAGAAGAAGAAGACCCAGGTTCGATTCCCCACATGGGTACAATGTGTGAAGCCCATTTCTTGTGTCCCTTGCCATGATGTCTGGAATATTGCTTAAAGCGGCGTAAAACCATATTCACTCACTCACCAATGATCATGATGTTAATAATTTTGTTACACCATAATACCCATACTTCTGTACAGGGAAAGCTTGTTTTGTGGGTATGCTTATTTCCCCATATACTGGTTCCTGGAAGTACATGTGTATGTGTCGCGGAACATTTATGTAGAGACAGTCTTGTCACAGACCATTCTCATGAAGCTGTTGCTGCTCGTTTTCAGTTGGGGATAGTTCAATCTCATTAAAATCCAATCTTAGTTCTTGCTACCGCTAAACAAAGATCTGGGGACATACTATTACGGGTCACGTCAGAACGACATTTCATCCGAGCAATCACTGAGTTAAGTGACAGTCAGAAAGTGATTTCTAATCATGGAACCTCGAAACATTTAACAGGGAGTATTCTGAACGACAGATACAGGCTTTACGACTGAATGCATACAATCTCAGCCATCTATTAGCCATTTCAGTATGTTCTTTTGTTCAGTTTTCAAAATTTTAATTGAGAATTTGTCAGAATATGTTTTGAAGCGGAATAGCCAGTTTGAAACTAGTGACATAAAGCATGATAAAGCTGCCTTCTGATTGGCTAATCTCGACCTCTTGTCTGTCATTCCACTGGTCGTTCAAAGTTGGCAAAAGGCCTGTCTGACGTGCCCCTTGTAATCAGATGTCCTCCGATCTTTGTTTATCAGTAGCGAGAACTAAGATCTGATTTTAAGGAGATTGGATATAGTTAAGTATGGAGCCATCTTTTCTTTTATTAACCATCCTTTTAGACACAGGACAATGAAATTATATATTCTGGATTATATTTCCTTGTCGGCATTAACAATTAGTACTGGGATGAAAATAATCAGAATGATGATCTTACACCTTTAACATGTTTTGGTTTGAAGGACAGCCATTGACAACGGTAACTCATTTTCAACTTCATATCAGCTGGCGTCTTTAATCTTATCTTTGAGTGTCTTCCCAAAAGGAATAGGGAGATTTATTGTATTTTCTTGTCATGTGGAGTTCCCCTTGTGATTAGGAAAAGTTGACACAAGATATCAGAGTACTTCCATCAACTAGCCATAGCAGTATAATGTAATCCTGTTTGTAACTGGCCTGGGGTGCAGGCATGGTGGACATGGCAGACTGTTGATGGAGGGGTTTACAATAACTTGTTGAACAGTTGTTGAATATCCAAGTTTTTCAAACGCAAGTTAGAATTTAATACAAGAGTAAGGACTTTCAATTTTTAAACTTATCCTATCTCACATAATGCATTTTCTCATTCTTCTTTTGATGCTAAGTGAAAACGTGCCTAAACAAAGGTTTCCAGCTTCTAAAAAACATTGTTTGATAGGCATTACTTTGAAGTTGACGAATGACAAAGTAGACACAATTTATGGATAACGACTTCTTTAATTACTGAATTAAAGAAGTTGTTACAGTATTTATAGTAGTTGTTATCCATAAATTGTATCTGCTTTCTAAAAAACAATTAACTTGAACTCACCAGCATCACCAGGGGCACTTCCCATCAATCTGGGTCATGCACGCTTTTTATGCCTGTCGACCTACAATCCGTGAACTCGTGATTTCCCCAACTTAATGGTTCTTATTGTCTTGGTATTATTTGGTGTCTGGCCATCATGGTTCTTTATTTACAGTTTCAAATTTTCTCTAAACTAACAAATCTCAACATGCTTCAACTTTGCTTCAATGACCCCAGCAATGATGCCTCTAAAGCAGTTTATGGAATTCGGGTCCAAATGTTATACATGTATATATTCATGGTTGCAGCATGTTTGTGCAGACATCATGACATTATATGTTTGTGCAGACATCATGACATTATATGTTTGTGCAGACATCAAGACATAATATGTTTGTACAGATATCATGACATTATATGTTTGTGCAGACATCATGACATTATATGTTTGTGCAGACATCATGACATTATATGTTTATGCAGACATCATGACATTATATGTTTGTACAGACATCATGACATATGTTTGTGCAGACATCATGACATTATATGTTTGTATGGACATCGAGACATGATATGTTTGTACAGATATCATGACATTATATGTTTGTGCAGACATCATGACATTATATGTTTGTGCAGACATCAAGACATTATATGTTTGTGCAGACATCATGACATTATATGTTTATGCAGACATCATGACATTATATGTTTGTGCAGACATGACATTATATGTTTGTACAGATATAATGACATCATATGTTTTCTGCAGACATCAAGACATTATATGTTTGTGCAGACATCAAGACATTATATGTTTGTACAGACATCATGACATTATATGTTTGTACAGACATCATGACATTATATGTTTATGCAGACATCATGACATTATATGTTTGTACAGACATCATGACATTATATGTTTGTGCAGACATCATGACATTATATGTTTGTACAGACATCATGACATTATATGTTTATGCAGACATCATGATATTATATGTTTGTGCAGACATCATGACATTATATGTTTGTGCAGACATCATGACATTATTTGTTTGTACGGATATCATGACATTATATGTTTGTGCAGACATCAAGACATTATATGTTTGTACAGACATCAAGACATTATATGTTTGTACAGACATCATGACATTATATGTTTATGCAGACATCATGACATTATATGTTTGTACAGACATCATGACATTATATGTTTGTGCAGACATCAAGACATTATATGTTTGTGCAGACATCAAGACATTATATGTTTGTGCAGACATCATGACATTATATGTTTGTACAGACATCATGACATTATATGTTTGTGCAGACATCAAGACATTATATGTTTGTACAGACATCATGACATTATATGTTTATGCAGACATCATGATATTATATGTTTGTGCAGACATCATGACATTATATGTTTGTGCAGACATCATGACATTATTTGTTTGTACGGATATCATGACATTATATGTTTGTGCAGACATCAAGACGTTATATGTTTGTACAGACATCATTACATTATATGTTTGTACAGACATCATGACATTATATGTTTATGCAGACATCATGACATTATATGTTTGTGCAGACATCATGACATTATATGTTTGTACAGATATAATGACATCATATGTTTGTGCAGACATCAAGACATTATATGTTTGTGCAGACATCAAGACATTATATGTTTGTACAGACATCATGACATTATATGTTTGTACAGACATCATGACATTATATGTTTGTACAGACATCATGACATTATATGTTTATGCAGACATCATGACATTATATGTTTGTACAGACATCATGACATTATATGTTTGTGCAGACATCAAGACATTATATGTTTGTACAGACATCATGACATTATATGTTTATGCAAACATCATGACATTATATGTTTGTGCAGACATCATGACATTATATGTTTGTGCAGACATCATGACATTATTTGTTTGTACGGATATCATGACATTATATGTTTGTGCAGACATCAAGACATTATATGTTTGTACAGACATCATTACATTATATGTTTGTACAGACATCATGACATTATATGTTTATGCAGACATCATGACATTTTATGTTTATGCAGACATCATGACATTATATGTTTGTGCAGACATCAAGACATTATACGTTTGTACAGACATCATGACATTATATGTTTGTGCAGACATCATGACATTAAATGTTTGTGCAGACATCATGACATTGTATGTTTGTGCAGACATCAAGACATTATATGTTTGTACAGACATCATGACATTATATGTTTGTGCACATATCATGACATCGTAGGTTTGTGTTTATATTATGACATCATGATTGATTGCATGCCACAAAAATTGTCCCTGTTTTCACTTTGAGTAACCTTACCGTCTGGTTGCTGGCAAAAAATACATCTAAACATACTAAACATTGCTAAATGTTACACAAAATAATTCCACCGTTAGTACGTTTTTGTAGGATATGAACTCAAAATGATAATTTTGTTACATGTGTCACTTGCAGGCTAAGAGAATTTTAGAGGTTGAAAGTTTGTGTTGATACCTTGACCTGTGGTCTCACAATCTTATGAAAGTCCACTCACTCTCGCCTTAATTCAATGTACAACCCCAGGAATGACTCCCTAATGAGTTTATTATAATATTTTGGTGTAAACAAAATCGTACAATGAATACTCTCTCTTTTTTGACACAGTCATAGATGTTAAATATCACTGTTCAATAAACATGTAATCGCTAAATAATAAATGTAATAAACCATCTGAAGTTCATTGCATAGCTATTAACATGGCTACAGTTCTGTTGGTTGTAGTGGCCAACCTTTACACATACCTTAACTATGTTTGCTAAGTACAGTACACTGTTGTCAATATGAAATGTGTGACGAAACAAATCCTCAGTTAATCCTGAGCCTGACTTGAGGCTATGTTATGTACAGTACTACCCTGGGTGTTTTGGGGGTGCTGACTTGTGGCTGTGTTATGTACAAGTACCGGTACTACCCTGGGTGTGGGGGCTGACTTGAGGCTGTGTTATATACAAGTACCGGTACTACCCTGGGTGTGGGGGCTGACTTGAGGCTGTGTTATATACAAGTACCGATACTACCCTGGGTGTGGGGGCTGACTTGAGGCTGTGTTATGTACAGTACTACCCTGGGTGTGGGGGCTGACTTGTGGCTGTGTTATATACAAGTACCGGTACTACACTGGGTGTGGGGGCTGACTTGAGGCTGTGTTGTGTACAGTACTACCCTGGGTGTGGGGGCTGATAGTTTCTACAGATGTCTGTGTGGCAGTGTTATCTGTTAAAAAATCTGTAAGCCAACACAGAAATATATCTTAAAGGACAATATTAACAACATTGAAAATATGTTCTTTAGTATTTTAGCGTAAGCCAGTACTGAAGATGATTAAAAAACAGATGAGCTAAATGTCTAAAACCAGAGTGTCAAGAGCAACAATAGCTCAAGGAATGTAGCTTGTAAAGTATTATGCCCAAAATATATCATAACGGTTATAGCAGATTACCGTTTCAAGCCAGGCTGACTCGGGGGACAATAGGGCTGGCGGGGTATTATGTGCTTATCTCCATGTCTGAGGGCATGCATTACCCACGAGCCAGCAGATTGAGTTTGTCGACAGGCCACTACAATAATATTTTATCAGAATCAATTCGCGTGTGATATTATTGTGTGGAAACTATTATCATGCTTATACCACTACAACAATTTGCCTAAGTGACTCTAAGTCAGTTGATGTATTGTGTTAAGTCCCGTTAAAGTAATAGTTACTTCACGTTTGATTTTCTTTAATTTGCAATTATATTTTTGTGTGTAATTGTGTGATTTTAGAGATAGCGTTATGTGTTAGTTACTTTCTTGTTTCATGAATGATCCTTTCCTAAAGTTCGCAAAATTGAAAACAATTAAATTAAGACTATTGTGTTATTAGAAATAGTTTTTCAACATAATATTGTTTGTCTTAATGTTTAACATTGTTAAATGTTAATTTCAACAGTTTTATTTAAGAAATTCACTGATAATATTTTCTCTTTTCCTACCTTGCTTCCTACCTCTCAGCACATTCAACAAAGACAAAATTATAAACTTGTCTGGCCTTGGTGTTTCTTAATTGTCTCTTAATACAAATCAGCTGCAATACATGTTGCATAAAATACAGTTTATCTTATCCTTTCTTGAGAATGGTGAGAATGTTGAGGTAAGACATGGGGTAAAAAATTAAAGATGTACCAGTAATATGAATTTTGTTTTAAATGTTGAATGTGTAACTGTAAATAAACAAGAATTCTAAGCTCAGACCTAGAAAAACCTCTTTATGACAGAAAGCCAATATTGAGCCAAAATCAGTTAACATGCAAGCCATTGATCTGTACAGTAGGCTGTCATTGACTATATAAACATCAATACACTCTGTCTCCCGATACCTGATCAGAACAGGAAAGACAAATATCAATACATGTGTGATTATTACAGTTTATACCTTGAAAGTAGGCTGATTATCATTAAAGTATTAATATGATTATGATAAACAAGTAAACACATTCCTTGAAATTTCCTAAAGGTTATTAATAAACCCAAAGTTTATTGTTTACTTTAAGATATGTTCTGTGCACTCTCTATGGTATCATTAAGCAATATTTTGATGTTATATTTGTTAGTTGATATTTTCATTCTCCAGCTGATTTGCCCTATGTATGTGTAGGTAATGGTAGTACAAGATCATGAACATTTACTGAGAAATACAACGTCTCAGTTGAGATTTCCTACAAAAGTTCATGAAAAATCATCCTCTTTCAGCACTTTAGCCATGTTTTTGTGGTACGTCATGTTTTATGTCCTAAACTTGCAAATGATGGAAGAAAATTATGGCTTTGTTACTGAGAGTTATCATATGAATGTTTGTCATTACTTGTAATAAAATCTAGCGATCTGATTGGCTAGTCATCGTCTTGCGAAAACCCACACAAGGCGTTCATTCGGCCTGTACAGACATAACGTGTTTATGTGATGTCATCTGCTTGTCTGTCCCACTGGCAGTTACAAGGCAGATCTGATATTATCACACAAACTTACCTCCCCAGAAAAAAAACCTTGTGAACAGTAATCATACATTTTTTCATTTGTCAGTAGCAGGGTGTACAGAATTTTATGAGCTGAAAGTTCTTGTACCCCATCGACCTTCGATCTCGAGGTGTACAGGCTTATTCGACTCGTAAACTCCTGTATTGACACAAATAACTCATAATCAATTTCAGACACATTTCTGTAACATTAAAATTTGCCATTTGACCTATAAGGGCCTTTACCATACCCTGTCCTTTACAGTAAGTGTCATGTTCATTTGTTTATTCTTGGTACCCCCTACATACAAGCATTGCTGTAGCCATCAATACCACCACACTGGAGTATCGATGTGCTCTAGTGATGTTTCAACTTGTCTTTGGGCAGTGCATGAAACACTAGGAATCGGCCCCCTGCAAGTTTTATCACTAGACCCAAGTCTTGTAAAATTCTTTCTGTCTCAGCTGACAATATTCCATTAGAATGTGCTAATGATAATCAGCTGATAATGCCAAAGACAAGTTTGGGAAAGTAAACTCAGAACATAACAGTCTGGCATCACAATTGTTGGTGCACATCAGTGATTTAAGTGGATGTGCTAACATGGTAAATAAACATTAAGAAGCGTCAATGTACAAGTAATGAGTATTTAGATGAAATATATTCCTCATCAAAATACAAAGATAAACATAAAACATGAAGAACATGAGCTATGTCATCTTCCCAAGGCAAGAGAGTTGACTGACAATAAATGTCCAGTTTCCACCCTTCCCGAACTAGGCTGGAATTCCGGAGTTACATTTTGGCTGGGTACCGCAAACTGACAGATATATTGCAAATCTTTTCCTATTTTTAATCAAGATGCTCCATATTACAATACAGATTTTGATTATCAATCAGACTGGACACCGCCATTTTGTTTGAAGCAAATGCAAGTGATATGAGAGGTGAAATCTGATTGGTCAATAGCAGGGACTTAAAACGGACATTTACTTGTAGTAGTCAGTAGTGGCGCTATGATCAAGCCTGGAAATTCCAGGCTAGTTCGGTAAAGATGAAAACTGGATTTTTATTGTCAGTTTACACCCTTGTCCTGGGAAGATGAAGTTATGTAGAGATCATGTATGTTTCCAGCACCGACCTTGCACCTTTAAAACAACATATTGCAATAAGCATGATAAGGAAAACTGGATGCTATTATCTAAATTATACAAATATGTATTACCAATAATTGGAAGCAAACTGTTTAATGTTGTTGGGTGTCCTTGGCCATCCTGCTCTATGTGAAGAGGAAGGCATTTGTTTTCTATTTCTTTCAGAGAAAGAACATAACTGATCTGGGCTGTCTATCAAGCACAAATGAAATAAGTGATGTGGGGGGTTTTAGAGGGAGCGGGTAGATTACGTTGTAGTTGCCCTATGATATACGATTCCTCAAAAAGCATTTGGTCCAAGTAACTTGAACATAATGATATGTGAATACTGACTGTCCCCTCTAGATCCAATGCCTGGATGGGCTGTCAAGGTTTCTGGCTGTTGGGACTCTCATCCTGTCCAGCAACAACCTCACGTGGAAGGAACTGGTCAAAATACGACATCTTCATATCCTCAACCTCAGTCTCCATGGCAACCCACACCTGGAAAAAGATCCCTATTGTAAGTATCAGAATATTTTGAATGATTTTCCCTTTTTTCAGTTTGAAATTATTGAGAAATAATGTACACAGTGGAGACAGTGATCAGTTGTCTCTGGTGTGTCTGGGAAACTCATTTCATCCAAATCCAAATCAGTGACCCAGTGGCAGATTAAGCACCACAATTGTGGTGCAGAGTTGTGCCCCTTAGATGTGCCAGGATGTGCTGTTCCTGGGTTCTAATTGTTTTCCAGTGATGATGGTCATTTTATAGCTGGACTGACATATAATAACTTACATTGATCTCACTAACTCTTAACTCCCATGCTTTCTGGCTTGCTAGAACTGTGGAAACCATTTAAAGGATCTCTGATGTTCTTTTTGCATTTGCTTTTGCACATGGCATACCGTGACATGCCTGACAGTGTTTGTTTGACATACCGTACCATCTAAAATGTCATGACATATCTGACAGTGTTGGCTCAGCACTTGAAATGTCATGACGGACCAGACAGTGTTTGCTGACAAAGCTGGTTGAATCATTCCTCTGTGTATGGAGTGTATGTACTGCAAGTCTCCCTGTAAATGTGTTGGCACCTCTGTGTTATGTGGGTCTGTCGTAGATCAGTGACTATAGCCATGAACTTCAAGTCAGCATTACCAAGGGAGTGTTAGGGATTTTGTAATGGATAGACTGACTATTGTAGCTGCAGTAGCATTCATAGTGTGTAATACAAACCATGCCAGTATGATATTGTGGCAGCTACACAATGAAATATCAGTCTGTATTGATCAGTGTCTGGGTAGTGGTAGAAACTAGTCTATATTAGTCACTAGCCCCCGTGATGTCATATGTCAACAACAAAAATAGTGTTTAAATACTGTATTTTTTACTGGTATTATTCTTTTAGTATTTCAACCATTAAACATTAGGTTTGGGGACTGATAAACATGACAGTGGCAGATCCAGAGGGAGAGTTCTTGGGGTGGCCATCCCCTTGTTAACAGCTCATGACATTTTGTATGCTCATTTTCTACCATGATAACATGTTGATTTGGTTGTTAAAGTACAATTATTAATAAATGGTCCAAGTGGAACCCCCTTTTTAAAATCCTGACAAGGTCACTGTTGGTATTGAAATTAACCGAGTCCTGAGGTCTTTGATGTTTATTTCACCATAACATTCTAATCTCGGAACCCCCTTAATATATTTTTGTTGAAGTTATGTAATTTGCCAATGATATTTTGGCTTTCTTTCTCAATTCAAACACTGACATGCCTGGTATTTACAGCATGTCAATTTCCATGTGACAGTAAGCATGGTCAGGCAACACTTTTATTTATTCTTTTGAATCACAGATTCAACAGACTGGAGCGAAAGACACACTTCGAAAATTAAATAGAAATAGTTTAAACTTATTTTTTATTTCCTAACTTTGAATAAATATATATAAAATAAAAAGATTCAACAAAAGTCCTATACGATGTAAGTATTAACTTTTGAAGAGTAATTGCTCCAAATCCATTGTATCTTGTCTCTGAAGAAACGAATGCCTACACAGAAGAAAATACAGGTCATGGTAAAAATAGTAACAACTGCTCTGACAACACTATTAGCATTTACTTTTCCCCATTAAAGCAGTCAACCCAAACAAGTTCATGCCAAGTAGAATATAAATATAAAATTATGTTTATTTCAACGGACCAAAGAAAATTGGGTAGCAAAAATCACCGAACAGCAGGCTGAAAAAGTGATGTTTGATTTTGAAGTTGAATTGTGTTTTTCTAATCCTTCAGAAATGGAGCCATTGGTTTGTCCAAAAAATCAACATCTATGACAATAACTTCAATTACACTGGAGCCATTGTAAGGTCAATCTTAGAGACCATTGCGACAGTAACCCTATATTGAATATGTTTATTGTGTTGTATGTGCATTCCTAGCTTATCTGCTTCATGTTATGTTCCATACAGTAAACATATACTTAATCACAGGAAGTATTGTTGACATGTCCTGAATAAGTTGTATATTCCTTATCATGTTTTACCTGTATGATATACCAGAGATCTGTGAGTGATCACCCAGCCCGCTGTGACTAATTACAGGTAGTGTCTTCCTCGATTGCTCGATGTACATATCTCATCAGTAGCAGGTCAATATCACCCGTCAATCATCCAATAATCACGTCTTTGATCAGCAAATCTCCCCACCTCGTCATAGGTCACTTGTACACTGTAATTGTCTCGCTTGATCGTGCATTTCTGGGTACATGTTGGTGTCTATAGCTTGTCAATAGCACCGTGATAACATGCGTTGTTGGCTACAGCATTGTACAGCTGACATGTATTGCATGTCGGTTCAGATTGGTAGTCTATGTGGCTTCTTGTACTTTCTTGTACTAAGTAGGCTTGCACTGGTCCCAGCTTTTGAAAATTGGTGTCTTTGAAAGAAATGTAGATGAAATCTAATAAGTATTTTTTTTATTGATGGTTATGGCATGTTTGAGGTTGATTATTTAGCAGGTATAGTGGTAGTTGAAGGGTGATTAACTTATTTGGTAGCTTTTTGATATTTCATTAATTAAGATAGAACTTTACATAATTCCCTTTATCCATTTCATCTGCAGTCATATAGTTCAGTCAAGTCTTACAAAGACATGATGAAATCGGCAAGTTACCGTCATGAGGAATGATGTCCTCAACACAATAAGAAGCTCCTTCCATGTGGGGTTTCCAGGTTAGACTACGTCCGGGGCAACCCGGCTCTGTTGTAACTAAACGGATCCGGTGGTTAGGCTTAGTGACTTGGTTGATTGTATGTCACAATACCCCGACAACATGGAGCATTGCTTACAGTTTAAATCACTAGTTTGTCTTTATTTATTGTCCGCAGACATGTTGTCGTTGGAATATTGCTGAGTATGCCATTAACAAATGGCCCATCACCTGAACTGTTGTCATTAAGTACAAATGTAGACAAAACTGTATACATAGATTTGCGTTATGTTTGTCCTCTATGAAAGGAATATCACATTCAGTTATTAGCAGAACTATTAACATGTAACTTACATCCCAACCAGCTTGCTACAGCACCCACCCCAGTGTAGCCCAAGTACCCCGCAGACATGGATTCTGGCTGTTGTAGTCCGCTACTGCACTCAGTCATGTACAGGATACCATGATATAGCTAGAAATACTGCTGACTTTGGCATAAAACAACTCAATCACTCACCCACTCACTCAATCATGTAGTTTCACTCACTCACCCGTCCAAATCCCACTCACTCACCCATCCCAATCCCATTCTTTCACCCATCCAAATCCCACTCACTCACCCATCCCAATCCCACTCACTCACCCTTCACAACCCTGCTCACTCATCCCAATCCCACTCACTCACCCTTCACAACCCTGCTCACTCATCCCAATCCCACTCACTCACCCTTCACAACCCTGCTCACTCATCCAAATCCCACTCACTCACCCTTCACAACCCTGCTCACTCATCCAAATCCCACTCACTCACCCTTCACAACCCTGCTCACTCATCCAAATCCCACTCACTCACCCTTCACAACCCTGCTCACTCATCCAAATCCCACTCACTCACCCTTCACAACCCTGCTCACTCATCCAAATCCCACTCACTCATTTTCCAAAATCCTACCCATTCACTCACCCAAATCCCACTCACTTACCAACCCATATTCAAATCTAACCCATCAAAACCCACTCACTCATCAAAATCCCACTCATTCACTCGTCCAAATCCCACTCACTCATTCACTTATCCAAATCACATTCATTCAATCATCCGAATCCCACTCAGGCACCCATTCAAATCCATCTCACTCACTCATCCAAATCCCTCTCATTTACTCATCAATTTCCCACTCACTCACCCATCCAAATCCCACTCACTCATCAAAATCCCTCTCATTCACCCATCAAAATCCCACTTACTCACTCACCCAAATCCCACTCACTCATCAAAATCCCACTATCTCACCCAAATATCTATCACTCACCCTTCAAAATCCCACTCACTCACCACTCACTTATCAACACAAATCCTACTCGCTCATCCATCCATATCCCGTTCATTCACCCATCCAGACTCGATTATTAGACCTTCAGTTTGCCAAATGTAAGCAGGTTACATGCTCTGAATGGCCCCAGGTGGAGATCACAGCCCTCTTTCAATTCAAGTAGTTTTTCTTGTCATAAATCCTGATGATAAACCAATCTCTATTGACAGGTTGACAGGAATTAGCAAGTCTCGTGAATATTCAAGTGCTATGAACAGGAGTATTTAACTGATTTCTATGCAACTAACACATGTGGATTTCTTTGATATTGAGGTGGTCGTGCTAGATTACACACGGACAGGTTAAAGGTCGTCAATCAGTGTTGTTCCATGTTGTCTGGGTTGTATGTGTCGTAAACAACATCTGTCAGTTATACCCATATGTAGGTATTCATGTAGGTATTCATGTAGATTAAATGAAACACCATGACAGATGTAAAAACTGATTTTGTTTGATATTGTTAGTTTAGTTTCAACATCAGAAATAAGTGGGTTTTTCTCTACATGACACAAAAGTAGTCAGACTGTATACAACTGGAGATAAAATGAAGCCCACAACTGTTCCCAATACCATCACTGATCTGATAAGTTTTTTTATAACTACACGATTTTTGTATCGAGACTAGATATTTTTTCCGCTACAGCTTCAAAACCAGATATATTTGATTTAAAACTTTGAGCCTGTATCCTTTTTGTAGAAAACCACCTTGCAACAATGTAAGTTTTGTGGCAGGCTATTTCTTTTTTATCAACACTCTGAAGCATAACAATTTCTTTCAAGAATTTTCAGGGACAATTTATTTTTTTCAATTTATTGTAATGTTGATTGAAGAAAAAGGAATTCTGTTTCCCTAGTCTGACTTGAACAACATTCAACCTCGAACACCTTATTAACCTTGAGTGACCATTGTAGCCATAGATGCTGCCTCATTGAACCCCATGTCCATAAAACTGTAAGGGTGACATTGATCAGTAGATCTATTGCCACCTAGCACCTCATCTGGTACCAGCTTCTCCATGTTGTGTGTTCTGTCTGCTGTTGTATGGAGTTCCACCCTCGTGATGTCGCTTTTTGTATCCTCTGACAATCACGACAATAGACAAGAACTTTATTGCCCTGATATAGCCCATGCCCATTGATCCTGGCCAGACGAAATATACTCCTGTCGTCTTTGATTCTTTCAATTCCGTTGTCAATGTCAGATTTTGTCAATATGTAATAAAGCTGGTTTGGCAAATGGCTTATCTCTTAATAGAGGTGGGCTTTCTTTGGACGAATAGATCGTTCCATGTCATCCTCTAGAACCTCTTGACATTGCTATCAAACCTGTGCAAGCAAATGTCATTATGCTTTGGTTTGTGTCTTGTATTAATTTTGTGTTTTACTTTGACAATTCAATTAGTTTATTCTAAGAATGGCAACTGTTAACATGGTTCAAATTATGTTTTATCGATTTCTGAAACGTCAATAGGTTCTGTTTGAGTATTGGAAAACTTTGTATTTGAAATACATCTTAGGAATAGATCTTAGCTTTTTTATGTCATCAAAGTGGTAATAAAGTGTTGCCATAACAACCACAGTGGGATCCTGTTTGTGGCAAGCTGAATATTGATGTCATAACATGTACATCGTAAGGGAGAGAATTTGTGGATGTCAACTTCCTTATTATGAGAGAGACAATGTTACAGAGTATATGCTTACTTCTTCAACAAGTGAATAAACCTGATGGAGTAAGCCAGTGTTCCCGCTGCCTTTTGAATCTGCCAGTCCTGGTAGACTGGCAACTCTAACAATTACCACTTCGTCCTAATTTTTGTCAGCCCCAACTTACAACAAATAAAAAAACATATGAAAATTACCTGGTTTTAAATTCCTTCAACATCATGTTCAATGCAGTGTACGTTCTTCGCTGACAAATGCAATGACATCATCTCTGAAGTAACTTAGTCTCATCAACACATCATTCACACAAAGTTCAGTCACAATTTTCTCTCTTCTTTTGAATATTATACTTTGGTTCGAGACTAAGTCACAACAAAATATATATTTAACCTCGAAGCAAAACGAAATGTTATTTCCTTACAATAAAGACAAGGTGATGGTAATAGACAAGCTGACTTTGTTAGAAAAATATACTTATATCATGTATATGACTATCGCTGATATTAAACAATAAGGATTTATAAGGTACTTTATCTGCCGGTCCACAGGTACTGACAGTCACAGGAATTTGTTTTAGCCTAATTTTACTGGTAAAAAAACTGGTAATTACTGGTAAACGGGAACACTGGTAAGCATACTGTGTTGTGTTCCTCATAAAAAAGAAATTGACATACAGTAATTCTCTTACTTATGTGTATCTCTTCTAACTGCCATTCCAAGACTTGATGTAAATAGTAGCCATGAAGAGTGGGTTCAACTACAGATGATCAAATTACGTACTACATGTATATCAAGCACTTACATCAGACTTTGAACAAAAACAAAAGGTATCCTGATATCTGACAGACTTCTAATGTGTGAGACCTTGGTCAACAGCCATAGCATGCCAGGAAGGAATCCATTCCATTCCTTCGTCCTGGAACTGACTAGGACCGAGGTTTGTGAAATACACACCCTAGTGCACTGGTTGATAGCCGTGTTACGAGTGGCGCTCACCTAGTTATTTGCACTTAAAGCAGTAATGTTTCAGTCCAGGGCGGAGCTGCTATTGTCACTTGTTACTTATATGGCCAGCACTTACCTGCCTGAGCAACTGTTTTGTGTAGGGAAACGCTGTTCACTTTCAGTGTGAAATGGCTTTTGTAGATTTGGTAGCAGATAAATGGTGCATTATTGTTGTGTATTGTCTTCAGCTCCATTGAAGTTTGTAATGGCTGTAAAGTGATATGTGTTCAAGGAATGAAATGTTGTTACAATTTCTACAGGGGAAAATATGTATTGTTGGTTTTAGATGTGACTGATGCATTCTGCACTGTTGTTGAAGTATAGGGTACAGATGTATGGCACACTGGATCAGACAAGGGGTAAACCATCTTAGTTGAATGCATTTGGGGATTGCGAGAAAACATCAGTTTTATTTATGACAAGATTCAGCATCTGTTTCACTGTGGTGAACAGTGATGGAAATGATTGCACAAGTAGAACAACATGAAGTAAGACAGTATGCTCTCAAGATACCTACAACACTACCCTAACTAGCTGGGTAGTGGGTTTTTTCTATTCCTGTTTTGGTACAATGACCTTGACCTTGGAATTGCCTGGAGAAGTAATACTGAACTGGCCTTTATATTATAATTGTTTCTAATCATTTAGTGAGTGTTTGATGTTGTATTAAGCTATAATTATCTAGAAAGTTTTGATGAATTTTGATCTGGGAAAAGTAGAATATTAAAGTTGTGTCAAATACAGGTTGGAAATCCTAATTGCATTGGAAAATTCCTGATGTAGTAAAACTGTGGATGGTGTTGAAGCAGATGCAGGGTCAAGGCCAGCTGTTGTGAGCTCCAGACAGTTTTATAATGTCTCTCAGTCTGACAAACCTGAATCTGTGTTAGCCATCCAAGAAGGTCATATAGGGAATACAGTCAGAATTGGTTCCCATTGCTCCATGCTTTTCCAAGGAGATTGTATCCACCCAATACACTTTTTAACAATGTCTGACCTGTAGATGTCATTGGACACCAACATGTGGAGGTCGTGTCTTCTCTCCAGACATGATTATGTATAGGCCGTTGTAATACAGCAGTAATATTGACATTGTCAGTATCACACGGGTTTGTATACACAATGTTCCTGTATGAATACAGACGGCAGATCGGCAGTGACGTCGCTATATTTAGCCAACAGATCAAGCTAAGACCTTGCTCCATTGAGAGGGATACCAACAAGTGCTCATGAGTACAAATGGCCATATTTCTTATGTAAGGTGTGACTAGCAATCATCTACTCTACACAGGCTAGGGCCCACACACTATTCAGGCACTGGGTTTGTTAGCTCTCATTAGTTATACACGGCCTGGTTTCCTTACTTGACTAAATATAGACACTACCAATGTGTAGAATAGCCGCCTGCCCGCTATCCTGTGGCTGGCAAAATTTTGGTCGGGCTAAATGTTCTGAAATGTCCCGAGTCCAAATGGCTACTGAAATTTTAATGGGGATTTTTTGTGCCCACCCCTTAGTTCATTAAATAAAAAATTGATCTCCCAATTCTGTAGATCAATATGACCATCAAAAATAAGAACAAATGTAATTAATAGCCCAAATTAAACGATGTGATATTAGAGTTATCCTCTGTCATCTTGTTTGAGTGACTGTCGTCTTTGTAACACTATGTATAACAAACATGTTTTGTTTGGTTGTAATTTGTAGTTTAACCAATCACAAGCTTTGTAACTTAGCGAACTTGGACCACCCATGTCAAACGTGGTGGGGAACAAAACTGTCACATTTTTAAGATTGTGAAATTTGAACCTGGCCAGTAACATTTGAGGCTAGCTAGCCCTCTACTAGCTGACACTCTATATTGGTCTGTCGTGTATTCACGTGAGATGGAGGAACGCACTGTACACAAACCTGTGAAGTATTGAAGATGTAATGTGGATGACCTTGGCATGTAGCATCTCACAGACAAAAATTCTGGAATTCAGTTTTGAAAGTTTGTCATTGTGATCATTTTTGTTGTTTCAGATCGGATCCATGTGATAGACTGTCTGCCAAATATCTGGATGCTAGATGGAAGAATTGTCACTTGTAAGTTGAACACTTTGTAATGCACTGGAACACACATGTGCCTTGCTTGGTCCAACTATTGGTGCTTAACAAAAGTCCATGGGCCAATGGCATTACATTAAAGTACCGGTAGGTTAAAACATCAACAGTTAAATTGATGACCAAATCAGTCTATTGCTTCCTTAATTACTGTATTTTCTTGAGTATAGTGCACACTTTTTTCCCCAAAAAAACAGCTGTGGAGAAGGGGGTGCGCATTATACACGAATTAATGAGTTTTGATGTTTTTTCCCCCAAGGAAAGACATTACCGTGAGCACGTAACACCAGAAATACCATGTCAACAAATCCATACTGAAGTTCGCAAATTATTCATGTAATTACACTGTCTGGCTATAAAAAGTGTTCATTGTATATCTGGACTTATGTTTGTAACTTATTTCATTAATTTTATTCAAAATTCCTTTTAATATTGTTTTAATTAATTTCGGTGAAATCGTGTGTGAAGCGATCGGAAGATCGCAAAACTCACCGTTATTAACAGCAACCACGGTCAGATTACCGCTATTGACGCCTTGAAATGAACTTTAGTTGACAGAGAATGGATACATATATCATAAATGCCATACTTTGATTCGTTAAAAGTCATATTTGTTTTTGTTGGACGATTCTATGTCAACACGTAATTCTCGCGATCACGTGCACGGTAGCCTAGACGGTGACTGGTCAGACTGATTCCATGTAAAAATTAATACCCGGCAATAGCGATCAGCTGCTTCGCTTAGGGTTATTTTTATTATCCCCCGCCACGAAGTGGAAGGGGGATATAGGAATCGGTGCTGTCCTTCCGTCCGGCCGTCCTTCCGTCCGTCCGTCACATTTTGTTTCCGGAGCAGATCTTGAAAACCGTACCATATTTCTTCACCAGACTTGGCACATAGATAGATCTAGTGGTGAACTGGTGCCTTTTGATAGTTTGGGATTTTTAAAAAAGTTATTTTTCGAGTTTCCATGGCAACGACTTTGATTTAGACTGAAAATGGCGGTAGTCATCGTTTCCGGAGCAGATCTTGAAAACCGTACCATTTTTCTTCACCAAATTTTGCACATTGATAGGTCTAGTTGTGAACTGGTGCCTTTTGATATTTTTATTTTTTATTTTTTGAGTTTCCATGGCAACGACTTTGATTTAGACTGAAAATGGCGGTAGTCCTCGTTTCCGGAGCAGATCTTGAAAAACGTACTATATTTCTTTACCAAACTTGGAACATAATGTCATCTCACAGTATTGAATACATTTCCTTTCTTGTTGATAAGTTCTGCATTGCTTGAGTGTATGTTCCTCCAAAAGTGTCATGGACACAGTTGTTGCATTCACTAACTTCATACAGAAACACAACTCATTACAAATACAACAGTGTAACTGATCTTAAACCTACTCAACTGTATAAACAATATATATTCTTGTCAACCATACTCTGTACTTCACTTGCTTCATAATGGTGTTAGAACCTACACCGAAACCATCGCTCCTAATTGTAATAAAGAAGTTGTTCGTCCATATGTCTCATCCTTACTCATTACAAATTCAGTAACACATTCTATCATAAACTGCAGATGGAAAAACAACACCAGTATAACTTTTTTTAAGTGCTGCAATTAGGCCATTTACAAAAAGGCCCAGTGAACATAGTTCACAGGAGCTAATGCATTGCACACACCCGACATGTCATATTGGCGGGGAATGGGAGTATTTCATGCTTGTCTTAAATATGTTTAGTAAAAGCTGCACCAAATTAACAAGATATTGGAATATATTATATTCCTGATAAAAAAATAGTTTCAGATACAACTTTTGCCGATCCTTGCATTAAAATACTGTAAAGTTATATCATTGGGTGTGTCTTGACCGAATCACTGGTAGATTCCAAGAAAACGTGTGTACAGCTGATTGCTGTGTCCGGCTTAGTTTACGAGAAAATACACAAGGTAATCTTAATCCCTGGATATAAAACAATGCCTAGCAGAACAAAAAATACAATTTAAACGGTAAATCAACATGTCTGGTGATTTTTTATCTCAAAATTCGAATTTGTACTGACGAAGTTTCTCATCACCCGTTCGTTTGCCGGACTTCGCTGAAGGGGTACGGTGTAGTTTTTTTCTGCGCATAATATTCAAATTTCTTTTTTTTTCCAAAATATTGAACCCGCTAGAGGGGGGTGTGCATTATACATGGGTGCGCACTATACTCAAGAAAATACGGTAAGCAGCAACTTCTTTAAGAATCTACAAAACCCAACTCTCTTATTTATTTTTAATGATGGACAGAAATAGCTCAGAAATCTGAAATGTTTAAATATAAGAGTATTCATCTACGACACCATTTTATCGGGTGTTCCCCCTGTCCACCATTAGAAGCCTCCGTGGTCTGGTGGCAGAACGTCCGCCCAGGGAGCGGAAGGTCGGGGGTTCCACCTGTCCACCATTAGAAGCCTCTGTGGTCTGGTGGCAGAACGTCCGCCCAGGGAGCGGAAGGTCGGGGGTTCCACCTGTCCACCATTAGAAGCCTCTGTGGTCTGGTGGCAGAACGTCCGCCCAGGGAGCGGAAGGTCGGGGGTTTCCCCTGTCCACCATTAGAAGCCTCTGTGGTCTGGTGGCAGAACGTCCGCCCAGGGAGCGGAAGGTCGGGGGTTCCACCTGTCCACCATTAGAAGCCTCTGTGGTCTGGTGGCAGAACACGCCCAGGGAGCGGAAGGTCGGGGGTTCCATCCCCGACCACGTCATATCAAAAGACTTTAAAAGATGGTACTTGTTGTTACTCTGCCTGGCACTCAGCATTAAGGGGTTAAAACAAAGACTGGTCGGCTCTTAGTCAGCATACTGTGTCTGCATGGGGTATTCATGTAAAATTGGCCATGGTATCTCTGTGGGCCAGTACTATGTAATCAGCATTAGTCCGGACTAGTACAAGCAGCCACACTCATGCACATGGCTATATAAGTGCGTCTTGGACATGACGGTAAACCCCTTTTCACCTCACCTCACCCTTCCTTCATGATCGCACACAGACATAAGCATACACTGTATGTCTATGGACTAGGTGATGCACATGTGTATAACACTGTATTGTGAGGTGAGTGCTACTTCACCTTTTCTATATGCAGACAGACACTTCCATATGGAAATCTGTTCATTTAGTCGCCATCTCTTCTGGCAGCATTCTAGTGTCATTGCTATATAATGGCCTGCCTGAGCTAGAGTACATGTGCTTCTAGGGTTGTGTGCCTGTCAGCAGATACATTATCATACATCTTTATATTCAATAAGATATTTTAGTGGCATGAATCGGTGTACTTTTGATATTACCATGAATTCCCAATGACTGTTAGCAGGTCAGTACTTGGTCATCAAGCTTTCATCAACAGGATACTCTGTTTTCATTATGGTCGTAAAATCAATGCCAACTCTAAATCTTTGATTGTTGATATTGATTTCTTGATTTTAGTATTCTTGCATTCACTAGACCTGGATTTATTCCATCCCACCCAGTGAAGTTCTATATGTCTGACCCACCCCATCTCTGACCCTCCACAAATATGTGTATCATTTTTTACGACCATCCCTTAGGGACTGTCATATTTTATGGAGGTTTCTCCTACTGTTTCTCACATTAGTGTTATCACACTGTTTCTCCCTTTTGTTGCTCCCTCTGTTTCTCCTACTGTTTCTCCCTCTGTTTCTCACATTAGTGTTATCACACTGTTTCTCCCTTTTGTTGCTCCCTCTGTTTCTCCTACTGTTTCTCCCTCTGTTTCTCACATTAGTGTTATCACACTGTTTCTCCCTTTTGTTGCTCCCTCTGTTTCTCCTACTGTTTCTCCCTCTGTTTCTCACATTAGTGTTATCACACTGTTTCTCCCTTTTGTTGCTCCCTCTGTTTCTCCTACTGTTTCTCCCTCTGTTTCTCACATTAGTGTTATCACACTGTTTCTCCCTTTTGTTGCTCCCTCTGTTTCTCACTCTGTTTCTCACTCTGTTTCTCACTGTTTCTCACTGTTTCTCACTCTGTTTCTCATGCTGTTTCTCACATTGGGTTATGACACTGTTTCTCACTGTTTCTCATGCTGTTTCTCACACTGTTTCTCACATTGGGTTATGACACTGTTTCTCCTATTGTTCTAACACTGTTTCTCATGCTGTTTCTCACTCTGTTTCTCACATTGGGTTATGACACTGTTTCTCCTATTGTTCTCACACTGTTTCTCATGCTGTTTCTCACATTGGGTTATGACACTGTTTCTCCTATTGTTCTCACACTGTTTCTCATGCTGTTTCTCACATTGGGTTATGACACTGTTTCTCCTACTGTTCTCACACTGTTTCTCACACTGTTTCTCACACTGTTTCTCACTCTGTGTCTCATGCTGTTTCTCACACTGTTTCTCACATTGGGTTATGACACTGTTTCTCCTATTGTTCTCACACTGTTTCTCATGCTGTTTCTCACATTGGGTTATGACACTGTTTCTCCTATTGTTCTCACACTGTTTCTCATGCTGTTTCTCACATTGGGTTATGACACTGTTTCTCCTACTGTTCTCACACTGTTTCTCACACTGTTTTCTCACACTGTTTTCTCACTCTGTTTCTCACATTGGGTTATGACACTGTTTTTCCTACTGTTCTCATGCTGTTTCTCACACTGTTTCTCACTGGAAACATATTGCATCCTGTCCTGTTTTTGTTTCAGCGGCGGAGAGACTGCAGGTGAAGCACTTCTTCCAGGACTCAGCACTCACCGAACATCCAGTTGTGAGTTTATGCTTGTTATTGTAACCATGGTAACCTAGTGCCCCTTGTGGAATCAGGATGAGAACAGACCCCCAGATAACAGACAACTTGTGTTTAGTCATGCACCATGATGGTTAAATATCTGTGTTTGAATCGACCAAATCCAGTCTAGATATGAGATATATATAGGCAAGTCAAGCTGGATATATTCCACATCAAATCAGAATTGGAAAACTTGGAACAAATTTATTCTTTAAGATTTCATGGACAATATGTCCCTCCACACACACACCAGTGCTTCAGTGGGTTAGCTGTGGCACAAGTAGGAACAGTTTGCTTGGTCTGTTTGGATTTTCAGCCCTGTCAGAAACACATTAGATATGGTAGTACCTCTCATGTTTAGCTCACCTGACAATCTCTTCCCAAGTAACAGTTGAGCAGGTGAAGAAACTTATTTGATTGTTGAATGTTTAGCAGGGTCTTTTGGCTATGGTGAAGACAATGATTCCAATTCATAAGAAACAAAGAAGTATGGATGTTGGAATGATTGAAGCCAATAAAACTGAAGCATGTAGGTAAACTCATATATGACAGCCTAATGTTTCCACCTTGGAAGAGTAATTGGAGTATTTTTCTTGTCTTTTCAATTCTTTGATTATCTAAAACTTGAAATTACGAGAAAATAATAAAAGTATTGAGAAAAAGCTCCAAATTTTGGTAAATTCCTTTTTCAGTTGTACAAGGTCTTTGTGGTTAATGCCTACTATATACAGCTTTGTCTGTGGCATCCCAGATCCAATAACACACAGGACAAACTAATGCAACATTGCTGACTTACACATCAGTCCATTCCAGCATGTCAGGCCTGAGCCTAACCAAACAAGCAAAACACACTACAACATGTTACACTTGTTCACAGATGGAAACAACATTGTAGATCTGTTTACGGTGGCATTTTAAATATTCATTTTATTATTACAATAATAATTCTTGTGAATACCATACCTCTATTACATCACTGCCATAATCCCGTATTTCACACTGTTACTTAGTCTTCAGATTTTCAACAGGAGTCCTCTTCACTGTCAACTATGCATGAGTAGTTGTACCTGTGTTAGCACGTTAGGCAAAAATCACTTCTTTCCTCTCTGTGCTGGAGGAAGCATCAACTATTTCTCTGAGATTCTTTTACTAGCATGTTGGTAGTGTTTTCACACTTTTTAGTATTAATTTGATTGAAATGTAAGAAGTGCAGACAGTCATGGGGGACCCTCAATCTTCTTGTTGGAAGTGCCAGGAGGTACGGTGTACAGTGTATGGATGATAACGGATGTGAGCAGTGCGCTTCACTTTCACAGTCGGCCTTTCTCAAGTTGGCTGTGTCAGTCAAGAAAGCCTGACAGAAGGAAGCAGCAAATAGGACAGATTATGCGTTAGCATCTTTAGCCAGAAAAAAAGGGAAAAAAGAAGTTATATTTACAAACAAAACCTGTTCACTTGATGTCCTGAATTACTGTAGTATGTGTTGTAGGCACCAAAACAATTATTGTCTCCTTTATCATGTTTATAGAAGATTTGAAGCAGTGACCAAAAAAATATTCTGAATCTATCCAAAATGCCACTAAAATAAATTAATAACCTGATTGCAGAACTATCTTTTTAAGGTTTATTGTATTAACTATATATATATTGTTGTAATGACATTTGATTTCTCATTTCTCATTTTTTATAAAGTATTATTCCGCAAACTTCACAGCTGAGTATTTTTTAGAAACCTTAATTCACACAAATAATGCCAAAACAAATATATTCATTAACCCAACTGTGATGAAAGCGTGTGTCAATATTGCCACTTTTGGTAGCCTCACCCCACTACCTTGGCTTCTGAAACAGATGTTTGGGACAGGTGTATTGAGCCAAACGCTGGTCTTTAATATTCACTCCGTCGTTTGATAACAGAATGTATGAATCAAGCAATTCTTCACAGTAATTATTGTAAGCCCAACAACCTTCTAAGTCATCAATCACACAGCTCATTTAATCAGAAACAAAACTATCGAGGCATTTGCCTGCAGTGATTGGGCGAGCACTTGTATGCTGCAGTCGAGTCCGCTATAGACGTTGTGTTTACATAATCAATATCACCTGTGATTGATGGGCCCAATAAGCTCCACATATTACCCACCTTGTTGATGTCACTTACACTCTACAGGAAGGTCCTCTGGAGTCCTCACTGCACGAGCCTCGACGTGGGCACCTTGGGTTCATATGTTAAACCGTCGATAAGTGATCGGGAGAAAAAATAGCATTATCATGTTCTGAGTATCATGTTGAGGCTCTTTTGGGGTTTACTGATATTTTTTAATTGATAGCGATTATTATTGCAGGTTAATTTATTTTTTTTAAAACTTTGTTAGGGATGTTTCTTTTCAGAACTGTTTGTATCTGTTTTGGCCCGATGTAGGCATCTTATTTGCAGCAGGATGGAACAAAAAATTAACCATTGAGTATAGGCATGTTCTGATTCTCATTGGGTATTGATAGATCTAGTGTTCGTATTTCGTCAGGTCGGGTCTACCAGAAAGTAGATATTCTATAAGTAATTCTGCTAAAAATGGTGTTTGAAGGGATTTCGAATTTGTTCATCTCTTCTTGATCTGCTTACAGTGTTTCTCATGTCGTAGAAGCTCACAACTGTAACATACCTTTTTTTCAGTTACACAATACTAGCATAAGACTTTTGTGCAGTATTCACTGCAGTTCATGTGTATGTGATGCCTGCATGAGGTAATACAGATACATTAGCTGAAAAGGCTACATGTATCATCCATGTATTCATGCGGGCAATTTATAATATACTTTTGGCAGTGGTGATTTTGTGTGTGACTATTTTATGCAGATATGCTACACATCTGGAACTTGGGACACTATGACAAACTGTGCAGTAAGTGGTAGCTGAGAGTTGTTCGACACCAAGTTCTCCAGTAGGCTCCATGTACTTCTAGTAGGCACCATATAATCCAGTAGGCACCAAGTACTTCCAGCAGGCAACAAGTACTTCCAGTAGGCACCAAATTCTCCAGTAGGCTCCATGTACTTCCAGTAGGCACCAAGTACTTCCAGTAGGCACCAAGTACTTCCAGTAGGCGCCATGCACTTCCAGAAGGCACCATGTACTTCCAGTAGGCACCAAGTACTTCCAGTAGGCTCCAAGTACTTCCAGTAGTTGCCATATACTTCCAGTAGGCTACAAGTACTTCCAGTAGGTGCCATGTACTTCCAGTAGTCACCACGTACTTCCAGTAGGCACCAAGTACTTCCAGTAGGTGCCATGTACTTCCAGTAGGCACCAAATTCTCCAGTAGGCTCCATGTACTTCCAGTAGGCACCAAGTACTTCCAGTAGGCACCAAGTACTTCCAGTAGGCGCCATGCACTTCCAGAAGGCACCATGTACTTCCAGTAGGCACCATGTACTTCCACTAGGCACCATGTACTTCCACTAGGCACCATGTACTTCCAGTAGGCACCACGTACTTCCAGTAGGTGCCACATACTTCCAGTAGGCACCACGTACTTCCAGTAGTCACCATGTACTTCCAGTAGTCACCATGTACTTTCAGTAGGCACCATGTACTTCCAGTAGGTGCCACATACTTCCAGTAGGCACCACGTACTTCCAGTAGGCACCATGTACTTCCAGTAGGCACCATGTACTTCCACTAGGCACCATGTACTTTCAGTAGGCACCATGTACTTCCAGTAGGTGCCACATACTTTCAGAAGGCACGAAGTACTTCCAGTAGGCGCCACATACTTCCAGTAGGCACCATATACTTTCAAAGTACTTTTAGTAGGTGCCATGTACTTCCAGTGGCACCAAGTACTTCCAGTAGGCACCAAGTACTTCCAGCAGGATACAAGTACTTCCAGTAGGTGCCACATACTTCCAGTAGGCACCATATACTTTCAAAGTACTTCCAGAAGGTGCCATGTACTTCCACTAGGCACCATGTACTTCCAGTAGTCACCATGTACTTCCAGTAGGCACCATGTACTTCCAGTAGGCACCATGTACTTCCACTAGGCACCATGTACTTCCAGTAGGCACCATGTACTTCCACTAGGCACCATGTACTTTCAGTAGGCACCATGTACTTCCAGTAGGTGCCACATACTTTCAGAAGGCACGAAGTACTTCCAGTAGGCGCCACATACTTCCAGTAGGCACCATATACTTTCAAAGTACTTTTAGTAGGTGCCATGTACTTCCAGTGACACCAAGTACTTCCAGTAGGCACCAAGTACTTCCAGCAGGATACAAGTACTTCCAGTAGGTGCCACATACTTCCAGTAGGCACCATATACTTTCAAAGTACTTCCAGAAGGTGCCATGTACTTCCAGTAGTCACCAAGTACTTCCAGTAGTCACCAAGTACTTCCAGTAGTCACCATGTACTTCCAGTAGGCACCATGTACTTCCAGTAGGCACCATGTACTTCCAGTAGGCACCATGTACTTCCAATAGGTGCCACATATTTCCAGTAGGCACCATGTACTTCCAGTAGGCACCATGTACTTCCAGTAGGCACCAAGTACTTCCAGTAGGCACCATGAACTTCCAGTAGGCACCATGTACTTCAAGTAGGCACCATGTACTTCCATTAGGCTCCATGTACTTCCAGTAGGCACCATGTACTTCCAGTAGGCACCATGTACTTCCACTAGGCACCATGTACTTCCAGTAGGCACCATGTACTTCCAGTAGGTGCCACATACTTTCAGAAGGCACGAAGTACTTCCACTAGGCACCATGTACTTCCAGTAGGCACCATGTACTTCCTAGTAAGTACCAAATTCTCCAGTAGGCACCAAGTACTTCAGTTTCAGTAGGTACTGAGTACTTCTTTTAGACACCAAGTCTTTCCAGAAGGCACCAAATTCTCCAGTAGGCACCAACTCCTTCCAGTAGGCACCAAGTCCTTCCAGTAGGCATTATGACCGCCCCAAATGGGGTCAGAAATGTGACTGACAAACTCAGCCTTGAATCTGAACTCACCATGTGGTCCTACATTTCAGAGACACAAGCTGGGCAGGGAGTGGTTTATACCAAGCACACTTAAGAAAATACAGGTGAACGGGATCTTCGGTGACAAGGTAGGCTCTGAGGGAGGTCCCACATGGGCATCATCCCAAAACATGTGTCTAGCAAACAGTACCAAGTATCAATAATGAAACAACACATGACACCTTGTTTTTTTAGGTATTAATGATTGAAATGAAAATAATGTCATTTCATAATAATACGTTATATTATAAAGGTTTAGGGTCCTTAGATTCAAATTCTATTGGAGCAAGGAGCTGTTTATCATGGAAGATCCCTGTAGGGATCTGGATAACAGCAGGTCCTAAGCTACCTGTGCTTGTCCTAAGATTCGATGACTTGGTTGATTGTGTGTCATTGCATATATCACAATATCAATCTCTGGTTTATCTGGTCCACACTCTAGGCCGCCATCATATAGCTAGAACATTGCTGAGTACAGTGTTAAACAACAAACAAATCATCAAGGACGAGGTTATGAAACAGCTGTTTTTATTTCATTCCAGTCTAAACATCTGCTAACGAAGTTCCCTATCAATGCTGCTCATAATATAGGTGAGTTCTGTGATTAGTTGTGTGAGCAGTATTCCTTGTCTCAATGCAGACACACATGACCGGTGATCCTGGGTGTTGTAACGTGTTGTGTAGAGTTGTGTCCCTTTGCCAAGCAAAGTCTATTGGTTCAATCCCCAATTCAGACTGATAATGCACATTGATCTGTCATCATACCAATTCTCGTCAAGTTTACCAAGTGGTAAACTTCAAAACAGTCTCCAACTTTCATTGGTGTTGGCTTTCTTCCCAGACAGGCCTTGCTAATAGCTGAATGACAAGTTGTCCAACCCACACTCACTTCCATTGTACATGCATCTGAGGTGTTTGATGCAGATTTCAGCTACACAGATGCAGTTCCAGACCCTGGAAGAAGTTTCATCATATAATATGTTTGTTGGTTCCTATTCATCAAGCTGTTTGTGTTTTTCTTTGCAGAAATTGATCAAAGACGACTTAAATACTTAGCTTTCAATCTACAAGAGGACCTCACAACAGAGAGGAAGTACACAAAAAGGTTGGTTGCTGTAATTGTTCCAACGTCACTACATTATCAACTTTCCCAAAGGTTAGAAATGTCTCCATCAGTTTTGATTTCAGAAAACTTTCTTGACAAGATGTTAAGACATGTAACATGTATATGTAAAACTCCACTTGGTGGCTCCAGGTGTGGCAGATTCTGACATGTGTGGGATGTTGTATCTGTTGTCCTCAAACGTACATTCTGTGTTCTGTACACTACTGCAGTATGTTAAAGGTCAAGATCACCTTTTAAGTAATTGTGAAACATAGTTGTATCATAATTTCTCTTGAATAAGGCAAAAGATTTTTTACATTGGAGGATATGTTACAATGGATATATTCTGCATGGACTTTAGGGGTCCATTGCCATAAGGTCCAAGTCAGAATTACACTTTTATAAAAAAAACATCATGAACATGGTACCTTCTCTAAGAAGGGGTCCTGGTTTGAAAAGGAATTGGTTAAAATTAAGGGCAAGTTCAGTGTTAAATCTACAGACATAGAGCTGTCTCTCAAAGGTCAACATGGTCAAGGTCATCTTTCAACATTTTTTGTTTTTTTCAGTTACAAATGGCATTAGGACATTTTGGTGATATTTTTCATTTTTTGATAGGGCATTCTTCCATACCATTACCAAATTTGAAACTAAATGTTGAAATGTTGACATTTAGGATGACATTTAGGATGACAATCAATGTCCTAGAAAATGATTCTGAAACTCTGTTTTTGAGGTTATTGTGAAACTTGTTGTGTCATTCGTTGCCAGTGACTGTTGCTCGGGTACTTGTGCAGTCCTGGAATTTGGTAATTGCTGCATATTAAAAACCTTGCCTTGATTAAGGGATGGAAGTAATATTTTCGGACTTGAAGGAGGTATGTTGCGAGGCTGGGGGGAAATGGCAGTGAAGGGACTGCTCTCTGGTTTGGCGAGAACTTGCAAACACCTCGAGGTAAAGATGTTGGGACATCTATATCCTGATTTGATAATTGATGCGTGTGTTTGTGCAGAGACTTCCAGGTGCTGCGTTACCGCCGGACGTTCCTGGAGGACCTGCTGGAGGTGCGGCCTACTGACCGGGAGAGATGCAATATGCTGCTGCTGCTACTGGTGGTCAGTGTCACTTGGGAACTATACCCATACGCTGGTCACAAACATGGTGACATAGCCGCACTGTTTACAGAGTTCGATCAGTAGTCAGCAACCTGAGTGGATGAAACTAAGACTTGTTTGATAACAGTTACTGGGCATTTTCTGTTTTCTGTAAATAGACTTTCATGTAAATGTTCATTCTTGGTAGGGATGCATATAAAGATGACTTTCAGATTGGTCTAGAAGTTGAAAAGGGGTGCTTATTGGAGCAGGGCGCTAAAAAATGGCGAATATGGTAAACATCAACATATCTTACTATGTTAATATGTCTGCCTGTTAAAGGGAAATAACTCAGCTTTTGTATCTAAATACATTTTGGGGAATACTTTGTATGGTAATATGCAGGTGTTGTTTCAGGCGTCACTAGAGTTCGTAATGCCCACGCACCTGGTGAAGGAGACGCTGGAGACGGCCAAGCTGGGGAAGATAGGGTAGGCCTGCAGTTGGTAGCCTTCACACAAGTAACTGACCCGTGAACATCCCATTAGAATAGGGCTTCAGCAACCCATGCTTCTCGTAGGAGGCGACTATTCTTGTCTAACTAACGGGATCGGGTGGTCAGGTTCGCTGTCTTGGTTGGTACATGTCATCGTATCCCAATTGCATGGATTGATGCTGGATTATTCCCGACGTATATAGCTGGAATATTGCTGAGTGCGGCTTTAAACAATAAACAAACACAGAAGTGATTATAGTCGTCTGACGTTCCGAGATTCGCAATGTTGTGTTCATTGCCTGGGTCTGCTTGTGATGGGTTTGAAATCACAAGATTTACCCTGCTTATGATCCTGAGTTTGTCAGCACCATGTACGTGCATGTATACCAAAGAAGAAGTAAGTATATACAACCTGTGTACTTTTGGGTTTTCCACCCACATTAAGCTGACAAACTGCGAATGAAATACTTTGAAATAGTGTTCATTTCACCCACATTAAACAGACTTGCTGTGATATATATGAAGTCCTGTTTAAATCAGTGTTAAACCCAACTGCCTCACTCTCTCACTGACTGACTGACTGACTGACAGGAAGGTGTACACCATGGACCTGTTCCTGTTGCCCAAGGACGTGCGGTGTCAGGTGGTGGGCATCCTGCTGTCGGCCATCAAGGTGGACAAGGACATCAGGGAGGTCAGTCACACGGCAGTTTGGGGACCACTAGAAACAGAAAGTTTGAAAGTAACAGAACGTTTTTGAATTATTGTAATTGGAGAGGTTCATGTCCACCAAGTACATATTCGTTTCTGTCAGTTCCAAGTTTTGGGCTATGACCTGATCATGTACAGATCATGGCTAAAGTGAGAAAAAATGTTTTTGAAAAAGTTTCAAGCTTAAGAAAAAGTCTTATGCCATGAATTATAAGCAAGTCTGTGACCTAAGTTTATTTCTATAACCAAACCTATGAACTACTGTCTGTATCTTGGCCGGACACTTGCTTGTGTTCCAGTTAGAAGCATGCTCTCTGAAAACCACAGAAATCATGTGTTTGAACACATTTGAGCCATCCTATTCATTTGATGATGTAGCAGGTACAAATTATGCACATCTTTTACATTTCACATCAGTTTCAAATGTGTTGCTTATTGGAAGGATTATGCTAGGCTGGTGGGCCAACAGGTGGGCCAACAGGGTACTTATACCTTCAACATAATTACGTGAGTGTTTACCTGTGTTGTCAGGATGGAGGGCTGTACGACCGCCTGTACCTGTGTCTGTTCTACACCGTGGCGGAACTCACTCGACTTAGTCAGTCCGACGCCCCGGGGGACACTCAGGCTGCTGGCAAGATGCACAACATGTAAGATGACAATCACACGGTGCACATTATCATCAGGTGTTGATAGCAACGGAGAGAAGCATCACACAAACATGAAAGGTGTTAATGTGAACCTGAGACAGTACTTACTTTGGTGTATGTATACTTGGACACAGTCCTGTCCCTAGCTGGCACTTTCCACAATAGTTGACTCTTGATCTTAGTAGATTTCTTTATAACAAGACAAAAAATAACACCTTTATATTTGGTCCAGATGGGGACCTTTCCTATTTAATAATTTATTTCAGGACAATTTTAAAAGAGATTTCGTTGACTGACGTTGATGCAGTGTTTCGGTGTTTCAGCTACCGAGATTACAAGTGTCTCCTGGCATCGGAGATTGTTCAGCTGATGTGTATTGTGCCGGCCTTCTTTGAGTACATGGAGAAGGATGTCGGTGAGCCTCTGTGATGTATAAATGATACCTACCTGAAGAAAAGAAGGGGAGTGATATAGAAAAATGTGTCCTTCATATATATGAGTGATTTCAAAGAAACATGTTTATCCACCAGTCCCTCACAGTGCTGTCGATGTCGTGTGTTGTTGTTTGTACCCCTGGCTCTGGTCCAAATTTGACTGTTATGATGTTGTAGCTTTGATGTTGTGCACTGCAGGAAAAACAATGTTATTTTGAAATAATGAAAGGTATCAACATAAATTTGCCTTATAAATATAACTAATTATTGGATCAATTTTTTGATTACTGTTTATTTTTAGGAGTGATGAACTTGGTTACCACGGGAACAGGAGACCGAAGCATTATTGGAAAAATTACCCAACTAGCTCACAATTACAGGTCTGAGGGGGTATGTTGCACTCATTTGTCTTACAGTAGAACTAGGAATGGATGCTATGAAAGACAGTCATGCTTGTTAGAAATAGCTCAGGTTTACTGTTACGGTGTATTGTGTGTTTGTTTGTGGACTCAATAAGGGGAGACAACTCTTCCTTACTTAACAGAGAATAGTAAATGCATTATTTAGACACCATAAATTGCAAATAACAGTGAAGAATGTGAGGCTTATTTCAGGATATAACATTGTTCTATCATGACACCATGTCTGGCGGCGATTTGACCATGCTAGCAACTCAATGATGTTGTAAATTGGACGACACTATTTTTGAGAGGGTAGTGAGTTGTTCCCCATAGATGTAGCTGGGCAACACAGATAAATGCAATGGCTGAATGATTGCACCAAAAGTGGGTGAGATTTGACAATCATTTTTGGGAGAAAGGTTACAGAATTGTAAGAGTATCTGGAAAATACCAAACTTAACCCCCTTTTCATAAAATGGGCTTGTCAGACATTGCTGAGATCAGATGGTATTCAGGGAGTCATTATTTAATTAATGGTAACTATTTTTAAAGAGGCTGTACATAATGTAGATATCTCATATATAAGAGTAAAAAACTCTAGGTTGATGTTTATTGTACAATAAAACACTGCAGAGAGAATAAACCAGTTGGAGCTGCATCCTCATGGTTTATTCTACCTACAGTGTTTTATTGTACAATAAACTACGGCCACGAGTTGTATATTTCTTAACTAATGTAAGCAAATCTTCGAGAAAGTGGAATAATGGGAGACTACTCTTGCGTGTTTATTATCATGACAACAGACAATAGCTGCAGATGATATGGTTTACAGAATTATGCTGAAAGGACTCTTGAGAATACTGGTAACAGATGTCTCAGTTTTGTTCTAGGTCCTGAAGCATGCTTGTGACACAACTGTGTTTTTCAGAGAGATGTGCGGGCATTGTACGAGGACATCTCTGAGATTCTGCTACAGAAGGTTCAGGAACAGACCATGAATCTCACCAACAAGTCTCCACGGGAGGCCGTGGGGGACAAGGTACTCAGTGTAAGTGACTCTGGTCCATGACATATTTCCCTACTGTGGAAAATTTGACCACGCCCATAATCATAACAACTATCTGTATCGTAATACTCATCATAGCTCATGATTCTGTGATAATGGGGAATTTGCCATGGTGATTAAAGTCAAAGCTGCTGCAATAGGGGAAGTTTTGTATCAGCAACCGAGCCATTGAAAACACACAGAATAGTACAGGGTGCCCAAGATATACATAGCAAACAGAGATGTGAGAAAATAACTGCTCTGAACAAGGACTGTGTTGGTGGAGGACATGGGCCTGTCCCTGCAAGTTGCCCCTACTTTAAACCTGTGGCACAAGATAGTTCTCAGGAGCTACAAGTAACAGTTGTCAGGGGTAGCTGCCAGGATAGCTTGTTCTTGGTCGGAGTCTCATGTCCAAAACAAAGTTTAGGCCATTTAAGATACATGATTAGATTTGTATTCAAGTTCTTTGAAAAAATGAGGCAGGAGGCAATTTATTTGTTTATTAATACTTATGTGGATGTGATTCACATGAAGCATGAATGTTTGGTAACGCTATGTAAACGGTGTATTTCAGCCAGTGAAGTTATTTTGCAGTTTTCTTTGCCTGAAGGTGCTAGGGGACATCACAATGATGTGAGGTTGGGTGTTTGGTTGTGAGGCAGGCAGGGAGGAAAACTTCAATTGTAAATGTCTACCATCAATTAGATGATTGGGTCTTGTGCTCCTGGCTGCATCCGTCATGGAAACCTGGTAAGGACACTTCAGCAGTCTTCAGTGACAATTGTGTAGATTGTACCGGAATCCTTGCAATTAACAGTGTCTGGTTTAACAGAGGTTTATGATGCTGATGACTTGGATATCTTGGATTGTCTCCTCCTTACAGACGTCGGGGGCGGTGAAGAGAGCCAAGACCCCGGTGGACGTGGCGGAGTACCACATGAAGGGGGTGACCAGCCCAGACTCAGACCCCCCTGTTGTCCAGTGTCACACCCCCAGGAAAAACACACACAAATTCCCCCGTGAGTCACACTGCACAATGGTTTCTACAGTGACATTTTGTAACTACTTGGGACTACTAAATGTCAGCTTTTCTGCCGAGTACCAATGAAACCATACAAGTTTCAGTATTATTGTTATTATTTACCAAACTTGCAAGGCTGTAGTAGACATAGTGGACAGGATGACGACTGAGTCTACGTCGAGGACAGGGTCACGAAGGTCTGAAGAAAATATAACAGTTAATTGAATCATGTACTGCTCTGGACCGTTGTGTTAACACTTTGTTATTCAGCGCACATTTTGTCCTGTTTTTGTTAGGTGATTAACAACGGGGCCAAATTAAACCTAAATTGCATGTTTTGAATATACATGGACACTGACAATATAATTTGCATTTTTTATTTATCTGTGTCATACTCACTACATGCGTTTGATCAGGAGTGAAACATTAACTTGAAGTTTTATTTTTATTTCAGATTTAGGAGATGTCTTGTTATTAGGACCACAGGTTGGTACAAACACATTGTCACATCAGAATAAGTTGATGATATTTCATCCAATTTAAGATCATCAGGACAGAAGGCCGGGTAATCCGTCTGTCCATCTGTCGTCTGTTCAGAAACATCTTGTCCGGAATATGTTACACCCATTAGAGCAGGCAGTTTTCTGATTCAACCTCACTTCCTATTATTCTTAAGATGGAAATGAAGCTTGGTTCTGGAACAGAGGAGCTTCAGTTGTTAGTGATGATGCTGACTACATCAACACAATGTGTGTGTGATGGGCCAGCAGGGAGGAACATCTTGTTCCAGTGGGAATTCATAGGATGTTTAATGAATATCTATATGATGGGGTGGTCATGTACCTCAGCCCATTCATCAGATTCCAGCTATTTATGTTTTCAGACTATAGGAAAAGTCATCTCCTTACCTCAGCCATTCCTGGCACTGGTTGCCATGGACGCAGTTCCAGGTAAGTGAGCGCATCATAAGGTAAAGCATAATACTAAACTTTCTTTCAAGTAAACATTGATATTCAGTTTGATTTCAAGAGGTCTCTCCCCTGTTTGATAGTAGGGAAGAATATGTGAAACTCTTTGAAGATGTTTTGCCACAGGAATTGAAAATTTTGAGTTTGGCCTCAGTTTAACTCATGTTGAACCAAATCCTATCTACTAATTTGACACAGGAAAAAAAATGGCCAGTGAAACACCAGTGATCTAAATTAATTAACAAGACAATTATATCTTAGGTATACATGTATCACTTGTTAAAGTCTGTCCAAGAGATGTCCTGTGATGTCACAGCTTGTGCCACACGTGTACTGTGAGTATTCCTATGATTACAGTATCCAATGGTGCAATGGTCAGCAAGCTGCGTGATTCGGATGACCACTACACATACGTTAACATGAGGCAGCTAGAGTGGGACTTGCAGTACCATTTGTGGAAGCCTGTTGGCACTGTTGGAGACAGGTGGGTACAGGGGCTGGACTGGCATATGTGAGGGGGTGGGGGTTGCAGTGTACCCAGTGGATGCCTGTCAGCAGTGTGAGGGACAGGTGGGTATATGGGGTGGATTGGCAGATGTGTGGGGGTGGGGGTTGCAGTGTACCCAGTGGATGCCTGTCAGCAGTGTGAGGGACAGGTGGGTACAGAGGCTGGACTGGCATATGTGAGGGGGTGGGGGTTGCAGTGTACCCAGTGGATGCCTGTCAGCAGTGTGAGGGACAGGTGGGTATATGGGGTGGATTGGCAGATGTGCGGGGGTGGGGGTTGCAGTGTACCCAGTGGATGCCTGTCAGCAGTGTGAGGGACAGGTGGGTACAGAGGCTGGACTGGCATATGTGAGGGGGTGGGGGTTGCAGTGTACCCAGTGGATGCCTGTCAGCATTGTAGTGGTGATATCTATATATGTCAAGGTGGACATGCCTGTTTTGTATGGATGATGCTAGTGTGAGGATGGGAGTTTGAAGGGGATACAAGAGTTAGATTCAAGAAGATTCAACTTATATGAACACAAAGTTTATTAAAGATTGAAACGTTTGTGACACTATTTTTAATGAACATAAATAAGTTGACACACGAGTGACATTTTGATGAACATGTTCATATTTCAGCATCAGACAAGATGTGCTCCGACAAGTACAGGAGAGGTGACTAAGCCTAGCCAGTTTATAATGTCTTACACCTCCTGTAGGGATCAGGCATTCTTGCATAGTGTAGATAGTATCTGTAAGTCTAACCAGGAGCCAAGTAGTTCATGTTTTGGAGTGTCCTTGTCCTTAGTAGTCCTGTACTGCAATGACCGTACATCGTAGATCAACAGATTATATATCTTATGAAAGGCTGAAACATTTCTGAAATATTTATGTCAACAGGATGAAATACTGAAATATTTATGTCAACATGATGAAACACTGAGATATTTATGTCACAGCATGAAACACTGTGATATTTATGTCACAGGATGAAACACTGAGATAGGTTTGTCACAGCATGTCATTTCGAATGATTTACAGTACAAGTTCTGTGTTCATTAGTTTTGATCAGTTTGAGATGAATGCTGGCATTTGTCATTTGACGAGCAGCATGGCTTATGTATTCCTGCATAGTTCAGATCAGTGTGATCCAAATGGAAGCTAATACCTGTGTCTCAGTGGTTCAGATTGTCTGCAATATCCCTATTCTTATTATCTAAGGAGCGCCCATATTAAAGTGTAACAGGGTTAATGCCAAAGTCTTCGAAGCCTAAGGCTGCTTGTGTGTAGGTCAATTTCCTTAGTTACCGATACAATAGCACTGTTTATGTTTATATGTCCGTGCTTTGCATTTAGCTATGTGCTTTTCCTCTTTTCCAGCATGTTTTAACATTTAATACTAAGGAAGTATTTTCATGGAATGCTTTCTTTTGTCAACAGTTCTGAAAAAGGGTTTTGAAAAACTTTTAAATTGTTGATGATTTTATGCTTACTGGGTACAACCTGTTTATTTCAGTAGTTTCACTTGTAGTGCTTACCATAACTAACTTGTTGTGCCTTGAACAGGTCAGTGGACAATGTACAGTCCCCACACTCTCCCACACTTCCATCTGTGCAGGGCTGCACCACCAGATGCAATGTTGATGTGTCTTTCTGACATATAGAGACACACATTGGCTAACATTTACTTGCATAACTCTCATCTTTTAATGAAAACGACTGTTTAACCACTCTCATAAATCAAGTTGTAGTTCATGGATGGGGATATAGTAGTGTTCATGGACATACAGTCTGCTACAAACACACCCATGTGTCTCACCACCATTCACCCATGTGTCTCACCCCCAGACACACCATTCACCCATGTGTGTCACCCCCAGATACACCATTCACCCATGTGTCTCACCCCCAGATACACCATTCACCCATGTGTGTCACCCCCAGATACACCATTCACCCATGTGTCTCACCCCCAGATACACCATTCACCCATGTGTCTCACCCCCAGATACACCATTCACCCATGTGTCTCACCGCCAGACACACCATTCACCCATGTGTCTCACCACCATTCACCCATGTGTCTCACCCCCAGATACACCATTCACCCATGTGTCTCACCACCAGATACACCATTCACCCATGTGTCTCACCACCAGACACACCATTCACCCATGTGTCTCACCACCATTCACCCATGTGTCTCACCACCAGACACACCATTCACCCATGTGTCTCACCGCCAGATACACCATTCACCCATGTGTCTCACCACCAGACACACCATTCACCCATGTGTCTCACCGCCAGACACACCATTCACCCATGTGTCTCACCACCATTCACCCATGTGTCTCACCACCAGACACACCATTCACCCATGTGTCTCACCGCCAGACACACCATTCACCCATGTGTCTCACCACCATTCACCCATGTGTCTCACCACCAGACACACCATTCACCCATGTGTCTCACCACCAGACACACCATTCACCCATGTGTCTCACCACCATTCACCCATGTGTCTCACCACCAGACACACCATTCACCCATGTGTCTCACCACCAGACACACCATTCACCCATGTGTCTCACCACCATTCACCCATGTGTCTCACCACCAGACACACCATTCACCCATGTGTCTCACCACCATTCACCCATGTGTCTCACCCCCAGATACACCTTTCATCCATGTGAATCTCACCCCCACACACAATTCACCCATGTGTCTCACCACCATTCACCCAAGTGTCTCACCCCCAGATACACCTTTCACCCATATGTGTCTCACCCACACACACCATTCACCCATGTGTCTCAACACCAGATACACCATTCACCCATGTGTCTCACCATTACATACACCCATGTGTCTCACCACCCCCACATACACCCATGTGTCTCAACACCAGATACACCATTCACCCATGTGTCTCACCCCCAGATACATCAATCACCCATGTGTCTCACCACCACATACACCCATGTGTCTCACCACCACATACACCCATGTGTCTCACCACCCCCACATACATCCATGTGTCTCAACACCAGACACACCATTCACCCATGTGTCTCACCCCCAGACACACCATTCACCCATGTGTCTCACCCCCAGATACATCATTCACCCATGTGTCTCACCCCCAGACACACCATTCACCCATGTGTCTCACCCCCAGATACACCATTCACCCATGTGTCTCACCCCCAGATACACCATTCACCCATGTGTCTCACCCCCAGATACACCATTCACCCATGTGTCTCACCCCCAGATACACCATTCACCCATGTGTCTCACCCCCAGATACACCATTCACCCATGTGTCTCACCCCCAGATACACCATTCACCCATGTGTCTCACCCCCAGATACACCATTCACCCATGTGTCTCACCACCAGATACACCATTAACCCATGTGTCTCACCACAGACACATCATTCACCCATGTGTCTCACCCCCAGACACACCATTCACCCATGTGTCTCACCACCAGACACATCATTCACCCATGTGTCTCACCACCATTCACCCATGTGTCTCACCCCCAGATACACCATTCACCCATGTGTCTCACCCCCAGATACACCATTCACCCATGTGTCTCACCCCCAGATACACCATTCACCCATGTGTCTCACCACCAGATACACCATTCACCCATGTGTCTCACCACCAGACACACCATTCACCCATGTGTCTCACCCCCAGATACACCATTCACCCATGTGTCTCACCCCCAGATACACCATTCACCCATGTGTCTCACCACCAGACACACCATTCACCCATGTGTCTCACCCCCAGATACACCATTCACCCATGTGTCTCACCACCAGACACATCATTCACCCATGTGTCTCACCACCATTCACCCATGTGTCTCACCCCCAGATACACCATTCACCCATGTGTCTCACCCCCAGATACACCATTCACCCATGTGTCTCACCCCCAGATACACCATTCACCCATGTGTCTCACCACCAGATACACCATTCACCCATGTGTCTCACCACCAGACACACCATTCACCCATGTGTCTCACCCCCAGATACACCATTCACCCATGTGTCTCACCACCAGATACACCATTCACCCATGTGTCTCACCACCAGACACACCATTCACCCATGTGTCTCACCCCCAGATACACCATTCACCCATGTGTCTCACCACCACAAACACCCATGTGTGTCTCACCACCATTCACCCATGTGTCTCACCCCCAGATACATCATTCACCCATGTGTCTCACCACCACATACACCCATGTGTGTCTCACCACCACATACACCCATGTGTCTCACCCCCAGATTCATCATTCACCCATGTGTCTCACCACCACATACACCCATGTGTGTCTCACCACCACATACACCCATGTGTCTCACCACCACATACACCCATGTGTGTCTCACCACCACATACACCCATGTGTCTCACCACCAGATACACCATTCACCCATGTGTCTCACCCCAAGGTACACCATTCACCCATGTGTCTCACCCCCAGATACACCATTCACCCATGTGTCTCACCCCCAGATACACCATTCACCCATGTGTGTCTCACCACTACATACACCCATGTGTGTCTCACCACCAAATACACCTATGTGTCTCACCACCAAATACACCTATGTGTCTCACCACCACATACACCCATGTGTCTCACCACCACCACATACACCCATGTGTCTCACCACCACCAAATACACCTATGTGTCTCACCACCACATACACCCATGTGTCTCACCACCACTACATACACCCATGTGTGTCTCACCACCACATACACCCATGTGTCTCACCCCCAGATACACTATCCAGAGTACAGACGAGATGCGGAGGGAGCTGGAGCGGCGAGCAGCCATCATCTATCACACATCGCGGCCAAACTCCCCTGACAGCTACATGCTGGAACCCCCGGCGCGGGAACCTACCCCCCTCATCTACACCAGCTACAGGCCCGACACACCTCAGGACACCTCCAAATCAAAGGTAGTGGCAGACCTTTAATTCCAGACATCTTGGCAGGTTTTGTTTTTGGAATGAGTGAGTGAGTATGGTTTTACACAGCTTGGAGAAATATTACAGCATTATCTGATGGGGGAAACCGGAAATGAGCTGACACATTGTACTCATGGAATCTAACCCCTTAACCAGTAGGCTGCCTGACATCCCGTTTGTCAGATTGTTTGGTCTATATTCTAAATGTTGATTGGAGGCAGTGACCCTCAGTACATGCTGTCAAGGGCAAGCCCATGATCCATAGTATTTGAGTTAATCATATTAATTCATGATGGCCCAGTCGTCTGAGGCATCTTATTATTCCCCAGCACGAAGTGGAAGGGGGATAAAAGGAATGTGTGCCGTCCGTGCGTCCGTGTGTCTGTGTGTCCGTCTGTCACATTTCGTTTCCAGAGCAGAACACAAAAACCATGGGAGATATCTTAACTAAACTTGGCACATAGATAGGTCTAGTGGTGAACTGGTGCCTTTTGATAGTTTAGGATTTAAAAAAAAAATTCTTTTGAGTTTCCCTGACAACGACTTTGACTTAGACTAAAATTGGTGATAGTGCTCGTTACCGGAGCAGATCTTGAAAACCATACAATATTTCTTCACCACACTTGGCACATAGTTAGGTCTAGTGGTGAACTGGTGGCTTTTGAAACTTTTGGATTTTTTAGGTAATTATTTTTCGAGTTTCCATGGCAACGATTTTGACTTAGACTGAAAATGGTGGTAGTGCTCATTTCCGGAGCAGATCTTAAAAACAATACAATATTTCTTCACCACACTTGGCACATAGTTAGGTCTAGTGGTGAACTGGTGGCTTTTGAAATTTTTGGATTTTTTAGGTAATTATTTTTCTAATTTCCATGGCAACGACTTTGACTTAGACTGAAAATGGTGGTAGTGCTCGTTTCCGGAGCAGATCTTAAAAACCATACAATATTTCTTCACCAAACCTGGCACATAGATAGGTCTAGTGGTGAACTGGTGGCTTTTGATAGTTAGGGATATTTAAAAAACATATTTTTCTAGTTTCCATGGCAACGACTTTTACTTAGACTGAAAATGGTGGTAGTGCTTGTTTCGGGAGCAGATCTTGAAATATTTTTTCACCAAACTTGGCACATAAATAGGCCTAGTGGAAAACTGGTGCCTTTTGATACTTTGGGATTTTTTAGATAATTATTTTTCAAGTTTCCATGGCAACGACTTTGACTTAGACTGAAAATCACCAAACTTGGCACAGATCTTGAAAACCGTACAATATTTCTTCTTGGCGTATAAATAGGTCTAGTGGTAAACTAGTGCCTTTGATAGTTTGGGAGTTTTTACGATTGTTTCCTTAGCAAGAGCATAAGTTGGAAACCGTTTACATATTCTACAAAAAAATCTACACAGTGTTGTCTGAGAACTGTTACCATAATTACCTAATTGAGATGTATACCAAGGAACTGAGAAATCAATCGTAAGACGTTTGCTCTCTCGAATAAGTATTGTTGAGATGAGCAGATGTTTATCCAAATGTCCCAGGTGAAGGGAAACAAACTCAGTTTGTTTGTGTTGTCTGCTCCGACTTTTGCTAACTCCGTGAAACTTCAGACATATATTCCAGACCTGTATGTATGAATGTGGATGAGATATATTAGTTGTCCACTGATCCCTCAGGGCATATAGTGTGATCTGTGTGTGAGACTGTGTACCTCGCGTCTGATGGCTCTGGGTACACATGTTTACACAATGGGTACATCACTCAATATACTCCTACAGCTCGGTTGGCAACTTATAATATAACTGAATTACCTTTCAAAGCAGTGGTTAGCCCAACCCACACACACACTATTGATGTCACAAGACAAAAGAAAGTGAACATGAAATGTAAATCACTGTCTGGTTTGTAATCTGCTGGTTAACGGAGGTTGATGTTTGCTCCCGGACTCTTTGACCATTACTGCTTCAGTTACAGAGTCACCGACCCCCGAGACCGATGTCGTCTGTTCTGAAGGAGAAACTGGACCTAAAGCTGGACATGAGTCACAGAGCACAGTCGGCCAGGGTGGTGCGAGAACAGACTCCGTCCAGGCACCCAGCAGCAGCAGCATCAGCAGCAGCAGCATCAGCAGCAGCACTTGCTGTATCAGCACGTCACCTTAACAGACAGGACAACTTCGCCAAGGTATGTCAGTTGTGAATAATGGGTGCGTAGAGTTTCAGTATGGCTGTTATAGGATGAGTATTTGTTGTTTTATGGTATGAACCCTATATACCTATGTAGCAGTCTGCAGATACACAAACATGAGGATGAATAATGTAAATCTGGAAATTTTGCGAACAGGAAAGTACTGCAAAACTGCGAGTGACACACACTTGCAACTGATTCATGACAGTTATTTTTGAAGACCAACAAAAGACATAAAGAGGCATATTTCTTTAATTCACTTTCACACATTGTCAAACCAGCCAGTACATGAATGAATATAATCCCTCACATCCTGTGTTTCTCTAATTCCGCATTGTCTCTCATTGTGAGACTTATACTACTGCATGAATTCTTATAAAATTGTGGGGACAGTTTCCATACTAAAAGAAGAGTTGCAGTGCAAAGTTTGATATGTGTATTTTATGAAAAAATATGATGGTTTTTTTATGTTGTGAACTTAGAATTTATTTTTACTTCGACATTTGTGCAACCTATAACTTTAAAACTACATCATGGATTCTTTTCAAATTCGGGGTACAGTTTCTATACCAGTAGGAGAGATGCAGTGCTCACTCTTTGTCTTGTTAGTGTAAGTTCACTAACCTGCCACATCTCGTCAAGTAAATCCAGACATACGCCAGCCAGTCTATTCTAAAACACGCTACTCCAACCTCCCTTGTCAACTGCAACAACACATGCATCTATAGTTTAACAATCACTGACTGACACTGAGTTACCATTTCTTCATGCTGCTTTTTCACTTATCAAAACTATCATGTGCAAATGTATCTTTCATCTCTGGTAATCTAAACAGTCACAGTTAAGGTTAGTGTTAGCCACTCGCAATAATTTCATGGCGCAAAACTTAAAACCTTTACAATACTTAATTTATTCATTTAGACCTGCGCCCAGTTCTACAAAACCATCTTGGCGCTAAGATGATCATATCAGTAACTTCTAATAGAATAAATAGCTAGAAGATGACTGTTTATCTTTCCAGAGGCAATTTATGTCATAGATCCGAAGTGAGCGAAACAAACGATGGCTCTATGACATTATTCCCCAGGGCAAGATAAACTGTAATTCTTAGTTTCTAACTTATAATCAAATCTACTGCATACGTCTAAATCCCATCCCTAACCACCTTCAAATTTCTTGCTGCTGTGACCAAACACAAATGTTTCCCTACAGTAGACAGGTGACCATTTCATGACACATCGGATTGTGTAAAATAGCTAGCTATTACCATTCAGTTTTAGTATACTGGATCACTTACACTTATGCAAGACAACATTAATCTGAACATAACATAAGAAACATGTTGTTGTATTTAACTTAAACAAATGCAAGTTAACAATTTTGTAAGTCAACATTGGCGAGTAAGAAAAAGTCAGTTGAAGTGAGTCACACATGTTGACTTAATGTTACAGCTTCAGCCAATTTTTATGTTTTCAAACATTAACAATTTGATGCCAGATATGCATACCATTATTTGTTTTGATGAAAAGTAGTACTGTGACCAATGAAAAGCCGAGTTATTTATAGAAAAAGTGTTATTTCCAAGAACTTTATAGAACATTAAATACCCTCTATCTGGCTTACCTTATGGGTAAGGATGTACTTTAACATAGGCTTACGATAGTCATAGCTGTAGAAATTACGCCTGGGAACACTGGATGAAACAATCAGTACGTTTATTCTGCAGTGCAATCAGAGCCCCAACTGACAATAACATACACACAAGGACCCAATCAGCTCAGCCCTCTGTTATCTGCCATCTCTTTCTCTCTCCATCTCTACCCAAAACTAACTGCCCCACTACAACACACAATTTTAAGGGTAATGCTATTTTTTAGGGCATTATGTGAAGGATAAAACACGTTCCGAGGTTTTGGTTGAAAATGTAAACCCGCCTGGGAGGGAAGATCCTAAGGGCCGAAGGCCCGCAGGATCTTTCCGACCAGGCGGGTTTACATTTTCAACCAAAACCGAGGATAAGTGTTTTATCTGACTTATAAACCGACAAAGTTAATTCTAATTGAGATACGCAATAACGAGGATCTATATATGCGATATAACGAGACTATGAATGCATCCCTGAGCTATGTTGAGTGACGACTACAGGTGTCATGCACGTGCTGGTCGTGCACGCACGCATTGCCCGTGAGCGTCTCTGTCATAATGTGGACAGCTTACAGTCGAGTTTCATTTAGTGGCAAGATGTGGGAGAGAGAGGAAGGTGACGATTTATTTCTCACACAAACGAAAACTAAAAATGCAGATGACTGTGACGAAGAACGGCCCCATGAAGATGAATTTGTGTATCGTTTTAGCGACCCGTTAATGGCCTGCAAAGAATATCATTGTAAATGTCAACTTCAATTAAAGTGAAGAAAATCTAGTATTGCGGGTTTTTTTAAAAATAAAGGATATGGAAGTCCTGGGGACTTACTGTGGAAGACCCAGGGACTTGATCTGAAATATGTCACTTTTTATAACGAGGAAAATCAAGTCCCCGGCTTCCACAGTAAGTCCCAGGTTTTCTACGCAAGTAAAACCTCATGTGGGTCTTTCTCAAGTTTGAAGAAACCTAACGATCAATACAAATGAACACTCTGAGGTTTATAACATTTGCAGAAGCTTGATGTCTTCCTTAACTGCCCGACGAAGGAGGGCAGTTGAAAAGACCGAGGGCTTCTGTAAATGATAAAAGGGGGTCGTCTAAGTCTAATGATAGTCGTCTAAGGTGCTGCTATTCGCTGTGCAGAATTGTGTCCCTTGAGCACACCAGAAACCTATGATTGTGGGTTCGAATCCCGGTTCGCCCCGATTATGTTTCTAGGTCTGTCAGCACCATACCCTTGCTTGTGGGTTTCACCGAAGTGGTAAATGTCTGAGACCTGCATCACTTCGGGCTTTCCTCACACATTAAGCTGACACACTGCGATATAACTGGAATAATGTTAAACCCAACTCACTCACTGTAAATGATAATGCCCTGAAAAATAGCGTTACTGTTATTATAGCTAAAATGGATAGAATTTGTTATCAAATAAATATAAACAACAATATCAGTTTTGAAACATTTACTGCAATTAACACACAACAAATGTCACTGACCCACTTTTACAAATATGAAAACGTCATAGAACAAACCAGATAGGGATAGGTGACGTCACGTTTTTAAACGTCACCTATCCCTATCCCTATGACGCCACCTTACAACGGGCGTGATAATGCCTGTCGTCAAGCAATATGAGGGCATTGTCAAGTTACAGTTGCCCGCTCATTTCTGATAACATGCGGGCGGTTTATTGATAGTTCTATCCATTTTAGCTATAATACATCATAATCTCATAGAAGCTATTTACATGCACAACATGTAATGAATGCAAGGATACCAACCACAGTCAAGCGTCAAAAGAAACCGAAAGTGATATTGTGTGGAATGCAAAGGGAGATAACATATAGGCCACTTGAAAATATGGTCAGAAATATAGCCTTCATAGCAATAAGGTCGCTTTGTGGAACGGGTCCCAGTATGCCAACATATAACAGGTCCAGTTCTTTTTCAAATCTGGCTGTCCAGTAGATTTTGTTACTTTAAAAAATCTAACACTGAATATGTGTAGTGTTTTATAAAACTGTATACTTCACAGAAAATTGTCTAAATTCTGTTGGTTTGTTTCTCAGGCAGTGCGAGACAAGAAAAGTATCACAGCCATTAGACAGATCCTGGATGACTGTGTGAGCCTGGCGATGGACATCGTCGACGGTGATGCAGAGGAGGAGGATGAAGTGGAGGTAGGTGCTCACCTTAGACATACAGGACAGAAGTCTTCAACAGACGTCATGAACAATAAAGGGACATACCTACTACGTCATGAACAATACAGGGACATACTTACTACATCACGAACAATAAGGGGGGATAACTGCACCATGAACAATAAGGGGAGATAACTACTACCTCATAAACAATAAGAGGAGATAACTACCTCAAGAACAATCAGGGGAGATAACTATATGTCGATTCACCTGAAGTGATCAATCTCACTAGAATCAGATCTTATTTCATGCAACTGCTAAACAAAGATCTGAGGACTTTCCATTAGGTGTCACGTCAGAACGACCTTTCATCCGTCCAATCAGAGCGTCGCTTACCAGATGATTGAAGTGACAGTCAGAATGTGATTTCTAATCATGCAACCTCGACACTTTAACACGGGATATTCCGAACGATAGTTATGGGCTTAACGACTGAATCACACAATCTAGACCATCTATTAGCCATTCCAGAATGTCCTTTTGTACAGATTTCAAATTTTTAAACGAACATTTGTCAAAATATATAAGCGTGAGAAAACTGCCTTCTGATTGGCTAATGTCGACTTCTTGTCAGTCATTCCATTGGTCGGTCAAAGTTCACGCAAGGTCGGTCAGACGTGACCCGTAATGGGGTGGCCTGGGGTGATTTTAATGAGATTGCTGAAGTGATTTACTTATAGTATGTTCTCATTAGCACACCCCTTCATCTATTGATATTTACAAGACCATTATAATTTATGTGCGCCAAAAGCGAGGTTTACACTTTTATGAGTCAAACTGGACATGTGCACTTTGAAACCAAGGACTGAAGGGTGCATACAAATGTTCAGCTTGTAAGATCCTGTCCACCCTTCTGTTGCCATGGTTACACTGGTTACATGCAAACACTTAGTGCAGTGAAATACTTTTGCCAACAAGCAGATTCTCAGTGTGGTTACTCAAAGGCAACTGGATGTGACAAGCAAGTGGTATCTTGATGTCTTTACATGCTGACTTGTGACCCGTGAAGATTCAGGGTAGAATAGGTCTTCAGAAACCCATGCTTTCCATAAAAGGCGACTATGGTTGACGTACGAGGCGACTAATGGGATCTGGTGGTCAGGCTTGCTGATTTGGTTGATGCATGTCATCGATCCCAGTTGCGTGGATCGATGGTTATGATGTCAATCACTGGATTGTCTGGTTCAGACTTGATTATTTACAGACCGTCGTCATATAGCTGGAATATAGCTGAGTGTGGCAGTAAACAACAAACAAACAAACAAAACATGCTGGCTTGTATTGGTTCTAGAAGCTAATGACTGGCCAATTAGATAGCTAGATCCTATTTCATGAGGAATGAAACATTATTTCACCAAACTTTTTGACAAATAGGAGATAAGAGTTAGGATAGGTCTTCAGCAAGTCATGAGGTGACTATTCTTGTCAAAAGAGGCGACTAACAGGATCGGTGGTCAAGCTCTATCTTGGTTGATGCATGTCATCGTATTCCAATTGTGTGGATTCATGATCATGGCAACAATCACTGTATTGTCTGGTCCAGGCTTGATTCTTTATGTTGGAGTACACCACAGCATGACTACTTTACCTCCAAATGATGAGGTTAAAACAACTATACACATACATATACCTACATAACATTGATACACTGATTAACCAACTATAAACACATGCAATGTAACACAGTACCACAATAAACACTATATCACAGACTGGCCTTGGGAGTATGCAGTAGCTATAGTGTGCCGATCTCCAAGTATCCGATGGATATCCACTAGTTGCTGAGGAAAACTACTTGAGTGCTAGTAGTTTGAGAGTGAGTGACTTCAATATCAGGTCCTGTTTAATTAAACAAATATGAAAAGGAGGAGGTTGCAGTGCATTCTTTTGCCCTAGGTGCTCTTCACACTTGGCTGTGTAGGGAAATCATTCGCTGTGTTAACAGTGTAGTATAAATGTATCATTAATATTATTTTTAATATAATTTTAACTTTTCTGAGCCACACATGAATGAAATGTTCATCTGTAATACAACATTAATGTACTAAATCTTGAGCACACCAGAAACCTATGATTGTGGTTTGGAATCCCGGTTTGATTATGTTTATAATTTGTCAGCACCACACCCGTGCTCATGGGTTTCACCAAAGTGGTAAATGTCTGAGAGCTGCATCACTTTGGGCTTTCCTCCCAAATAAAACTGACATGCTGATATAACTGGAATACTGTTCAAAGTGGCATTAAACCCAACTCACTCACTCCATAGACAACTATGTATACACAGGACTATGTTATATGTTAGATGTGTGAAGACACTCAATGGACAGCCAGCCTCCCCACATGGGGTGGACAGTGAGCAGCTGGAGATCTGGGTTAGAATAGATCTTCAGCAACCCATACTTGCCGTAAGAGGCGACAATGCTTGTCATAAGAGGCTACTAACAGGATCGGGTGGTCAGGCTTGCTGACTTGGTTGATGCATGTTATCGTATCCCAAGTGTGTGGATTGATGCTCATGATGTCAATCACTAGATTGCCTGGTCAAGATTTGATTATTCACAGACTGCTGAAATATTGCTGTGTGCTGCGTTAAAAAACAAACAAACAAAACTTCCATGTCTGCAACACATGTTAGAAAATTGAAGTTGAGTTATCTCCCCTGGTTGAGTACTCGAGTCCATCTAAACCTGACCCTTGTTCGAGTCCTTGTGTGCCCATCAGACGCCTAACATGTAATGAACTGCATTAATTTTCCTCATTCTCGATTATTTACAGACTGCCATCGTTTAGCTGGAATATTGCTGAGTGTGGTGTTAAACAACAAACAAACAAACAGTCATGAACTGTTGCTCATGCTATCAACCACTGGTTTGACTTCCCAGACTAATGATTACATGCCACTGATGGTCTGTATGGTCAGGTGGTCACACTCAGTCACTTGGGTGATTGCGTGTCATCATGTCTGATGGTGTGGTTGGTTGCTCATGCTATCAACCACTGGTTTGACTGCCCAGACTAATGATAACATACCACTGATGATCTGATGGTCAAAAGACCTTACAGATAGGCAGATGGTTACAATGTGTGACCATGTGCCAAAATCTTGAATTTTGCTCGGGCCATCAACCATCTGGTTTATCTGGTCCCAGCTTGATTACTTACAAGATGTTGTGATAGCTATATTACTGAACAACATTCACGCACTATAAAATTGATGTCTATAATTACCGCAATTACTTTTAAATGTTAATTGCATCAAGTACCAATATTACATTTGTATAATTATTTCATCAGATTTTCTGAAGTAGTTTTCAATCTTGTTTGGATGAAAAGCATTTCCAGGTTCATCAAAGGTTTGAGAAATATTTGACCAAAATGTGTTGATCCAACATTTCCAGATAAGAGCAACTGTGACAAGCCAGCGAGTATGTATACCACACACAGTGTGTCTGTGTTAACAACCGTCAGTGTAGCTTACTTTCTCATTGTTCAGCTTCTACGTTCCTAGGTGTCCTTGTAGATCTCCCTCCACAGTAGTTAGATGTTGTGAATAGAACTTGTAGTGAATCACCGGTGTATTGAATGTTTCATACATCCATGCGGGAGTTTACACTGCACTGAGTGTTATGTTATAGCAAAATTATGTTCAGCACAAACAATGACTAGTCTTTCAATTCTAATAAATGTTTTACTATATGGTAATATTTGACACTACTGAGTTATCGTACATTTTGAAAGTGTGCCCCCTTTGACATGTTACACCAGAAATAGAGCAACACAAATGGTAGAGCGACATTGTCAGTAGTAGACTGTGGACTTGCCCCTTGAACCTGTTGGCCATTGTGTCCGTTAATGGTTAATGTCCTGACCTTCTTCTAAATACCTGGGTAATCGTTGTTGTGAGTTTCTGTTGTCATGATCATGTCTATTTATGTTGTCTCTGTCTATCATGTCTATGTTGCCTACAGTCTAATATGTCTATCTGTTTGTGACGTGTATTGAGAGCCTCCTGTCATTGGTTCAGTTGGTACTGGTATCCATATTAAATATTTCACTTGGAGTGTGCTTCAACCACATGCCAGGGCATGGTCCACACTTTGCAGCAATTGTCTTCGCAGAGTTACATCCCTTAGTCATGACAGGACACACTAGCCATGGAATTGTAGATCTACAGAACAAAGGGAGGCATTTAAATCACTGGTTGCCAATGTCAAATAACAACAAGTTTGGCATGAATATAAGGCCTACATCCAGAGAACTGTTCAGAGGCACTAAGTCATTAGCTCTTTGTCTTTGGATGAGGAATGTTTTTAATTCAATCTGAAACTTGTGTTCTGGAGATGAGCGGAAAGCTTGTTCCACATGTCAGCATGACTTGGGAAAAACTCTGTCAACATAGGAAAACATTTATGAAAGTAGTACTAGTTGTAAGACTAACTAACCTAAAAACACCTATTGTGATAAACAGCATATGCATTGCATCTGAGAAATAATAAAGAAATTACATCATTTTTAAATGTTGAATGTTATGAAAGGTTCATTAATCAGATGAATGTAAGAAGAAATGTATGTTTACTAAGGTGACATGCAATGCCACAAAAGTGTGACATGAGAGGTCAAAGTGTGACGTGAGAGGTAAAAGTGTGACTTGAGAGGTAAAAGTGTGACATGAGAGGTCAAAGTGTGACGTGAGAGGTAAAAGTGTGACGTGAGAGGTCAAAGTGTGACATGAGAGGTCAAAGTGTGACGTGAGAGGTAAAAGTGTGACGTGAGAGGTCAAAGTGTGATGTGAGAAGTAAAAGTGTGACATGAGAGGTAAAAGTGTGACGTGAGAGGTCAAAGTGTGACGTGAGAGGTCAAAGTGTGACATGAGAGGTCAAAGTGTGACGTGAGAGGTAAAACAGTGACATGAGAGGTAAAAGTGACATGCAATGCCACTAAAGTGTGACATGAGAGGTCAAAGTGTGACATGAGAG